GGATCTGAAAACCTGTCAAATATGTAACATCTAACACACAAAGTCAATAGGGGTTCTGACATAATCTAGGTTTTATTTATTTTTATAATGACTAGTCTCTTTAATTTGCTATAGCATAGTGTGCTTGAATATATATACTCCCTCCATTATTTTTTAGTTTGTTCCTATAAAATTTTGGTGAAGATTAAGAAATACTGTAGGGGTATTGAATGATGTAGGAAAATGTAAAAAGCAAGAGAAGTGTAGGTGTAAACGTAAAAAAAAAAAGTATTAACCGGGTAGAGAAATAGTGGGAAAAAAGAAAGAGGAGATGAAATATAAGGACAAAATGGGGGAAAATGGAATGGAGCAAATAATAAAAATGGAAAAGCTTATGGAGAGACATATGATCCCACCATTATGGAGTCATATGACTTGTGTGGCCACATCCTAACCACATATCTTTATGGTGGGGTCATCTATTATCAACTCAAATGGAATAGTAGTAATCTTAATGAAGCCAAGTTACCACATATGAATCCATAGCATATTAGCAGAGTCATATGCCAGTCCATAAAATTGTCACAAAAAGGAATGTAGACCAATTAAATAAAAACGGAGGAAGTATTTAAAGTTTTACTTTCAAAATATTATATTTAAGTTATGGACCTGAACATGCCAATTTTCTGGATCATCTTCACTGGAAATCCACAATGAAGGATCATCATTTGGAACAGAAGAGGAAGGACTAGTTATCCAAGAAATCCGGTCTACTTTTAATAATGCATCCTCATGCCAATGTGATATCTTCTTAAAACGCCTCCCTAACTCCTCCCATTTTGCCGCCTTTCTCCATCGTTGCTCAAAGTTTGTGAGAACATCATAAGCAGCAGGCCCTTCAATTTTGCAATGCAGATCATGCCATGGCTGTCTTGGTCCCTTAACTCCTCCTTCCTAAAACAAATTCTTATAAAATTAACAAAGGAGTGGAAACATTGGAAGAAACTCATTGATTTTTGACATGGACTTACAGGGAATGTAGGATTGTGATAATCGCCTTTGAAAACAGTGTCAAGGTCAGAAAACAATCTATGCTGAGGGGTATCATATCGCCCGTCACATAGGTCTAGACCTCCAATAAAAGCTGTTATCTTCCTATTGTTTCCCTCAGATTGTGTATCCACAATTACACACTTTTGATGGTGTGTATAAAGTGTTCCTACCACCTGCTTGTTAAGCATATCAGAAAATGAGCTAAAGCAATCACTCCAGGCTTTAGAAGAACAAGTGTAGATCTACATCTGTTTTGTACATTTTTGTGTGTACATTTTTATGTAAACTTAAATAAGTTTTCTTCATTGAACAAATACCTTCAACATGGAAATGTAATCTCATAGTACAAAACAAGTGTTCATCAACACATACTCGACTAAAAATGTGTTTTCTAAATGAAGTAAACATGTCTCAAAAATGTGCAGGGTGGAGATGGGGAGAACCATGCCTGTTGCTTGAATATACTAAGCTTACTACTTGCATAACGAGGTGCAAGCACACATGTAACTGATGAATGCTTGAAAAACTTGCGAGTTTCTTCGTCGTGTGTTCCCATTAATCCAGCCTACAATTTCCATCAACAACATATTAAATTAGAGATAGACTATATTTTCAGAATTATCATGCACATACATACATACCCCATTCATATAACATGGAATTCAGAATTATCAATTGTATTTGTAAAAAAAATTGTACACTGTCATGTCTGCTGTTAAGCTTTTTAAGTGTACCAAACTAAAGTACACACTAGAGTTAACAATTTGAATCACACTAAAGATTGAATCAAGTGGATTAGTTAGGAAAGAAATTAAAAGCCACAGTAAATCTTTCAAATAAACTAGTTCTGAAAAAATTGTGATAAAAAATCTTTCAAGGAAAACACACGTCTCGAATTTGTGATTTATATATCAATCAACTTACTTACCTTCATCTTAATGACCAATAGTGAACCTATAATTAAGATAAATTAGAATATGATTTTCTCTTTATACTACACACATAGACATATAGTGAGAAGCTGATAAGGGAGGTGACATAATTAATTACCGTGTTAATAAAGAATTTGTTGTGAGAAGTCTTATCATCCCAAACTAAAAGCAGCACCCTAACTCCTTCCTGAGACTTGTACTTGAGCAAATCTCCCAGGTTCAAATCCCCTCCGTTAGGCAGCGGTTTGGTAGGCTCCCTCACCAGCTTCACCTTGTGATAGATGGACCACCCTACTATGTATACCAAGTGATGTGCCTCCAGAATGGCATGACAGATGTCCTCCCAGCAGTTCTCGTGATGGAAAGCCTTCGTCGCTCCTGCACAGTTGTCTTCATCATCTTGTTCTAGCTTAATCTCTGGCAACACGCCCTCCGGGACGTGTGCGTCCTGGTAGAGCGTCACCGCCCCTCCGTGCCTCACGGGAAAATAACTCTCTTTCAAGCCATAGTTTTCAACAATGCCGCCTCCATGGCTAGGCTGGTACAATGGGTTTTCATCACAAGGGGTGAATTTCATCCTGAGCCTGATAGCACTATCGGGCTTCGGGGGTTTCCCGCTCGCGCCACGCGTGAGCGGGAACCAGTCATCTATCATCTTGCCCGACTTGATCTTCGGGGCCGACACTTTCGCCACGCCTATGAAGTCGGCCCCGAACATGTCATTGTCCTTCACGTGGAATTCCACCTCGGAGACCGGGTGAGCCAGCGGGATCTTGAAGTGTTCGTTCCACACGGGATCCTGCGAATTCGCGATCACGCGGGTGCGAGCCACCGTGGCGCCCGCTAAGCAGACTTTGACGTAGGGGTCGCTGGTGATTATCTTAGCTGCAGCATGAAGGTGTCGAGAGCCCCTCTTTCCCGGCCGGGAAATCGGCCTCCGGCAGTCGAGAGCCGTGAGGAGTCTCCGAATGCGCTCCGAAACAATGTCCATATTCGGCAACCATCGAGCTTCTAGAATCTCCAAGTCTAGATCCCCATGGAGGTAGACGACGTTCTCCGAATTCTCGTCGGACATTTTTGTTCTAAGAAACGTTACATTCGATGGATGAATGGATATGATCTCGTCAAATGCGCGCGTTAATTTGATGAAGGAATTGAATGCAGGAGTACGTATATAATTCCTTGAGACGGTGGCGCCCGGTGGAATTAGGCGGGGATACGGCGGTTGGCGGAGGAGGAGATGAAGCAAAGTATCTCTCCGCCACAGCCAACGGCCGGAAAAGGTGGAATGTGGGTGTGTAAAAAAAAATTACTAACAAAACAATACCGTTTGGATTTGGGAAATTCGACTGAATATCGTTAGATATTGTGCAATTTTTATATTGCCATATTGGGAAATGGGAATGGGTATACTAAAAAAATGCATCAATGGGAATGGGTTTACAGTTTCAATGATGTATCTTTTCTGAAATAAATGAAGTATAATTACAATTTAATTAATATAATAAGCGGCTTGAAGAGTTTCATTAATATAGTCTATGGCGTTATGAGTCATGAGTGAGCTAGGGAAATCAGCTAACTCATTCAATTGTAGTAAGTGATTTTCTTAGTTAATGCATGCAATGCAATTTTAATTATTTTCTTATTTATAATATCAATTCTTTATCATATTATAATAATCTTAATTTGGTGATTTCATTGAAAATTTAATGTCATTTCTGAATTTTATATTTTTTTTTGAAAAAATACATATTTATAACTAAAATAAAGGTTGTTCACAAAAATGTGACTAATGATTATAATATTAATTTAGTCCTACTAACTTTATGTTCAATTTGTAAAGTTAAGAAACTATTACACTATATTGTAATAACTATTAGTGTTATTTGTGTAATAAATAAGTTTTATTTCAATAATATTTTTTGAAAAGCCACAAATTTTAATGAATTTACCCCAAAATAATGATAATAAAAAATCATTTATGAAATTAATATCGGGTTAAAAGTATTTCTCAAAATAAATCCTGATTAACAAAGTGCCAAATGACTTTCCCTTACTATGCGCTGAACGAAGCTAGCAAAGGAAGCCAGCAAATCAAAACAACTTAATGGGACCCATATTTAAAAAATCTCTCTCTTTTAATAAAAGAAATACTACGTATATCAAAATGGATTTACTTTGATATATTTTGATACATTAAAATTTGGGTTTCATTAAGGTGATTTGATTTGCTAGCTTCCTATGTTGGCTTGTTTTGGATTTCAACGATTAAGAGAAAGTTGCCTACTAAGTTGACGGTTTTATTAAACAAAATATAATTTATTTCTACACTATTTTAGGAAATACTTTTAATTTGACCTGAGATTAATTTCTTAAACAATTATTTATTTAGCATTATTTTGAAAAAAAATCAATTTTAATTATTAAAACTAACTTACCATTTGTAGATCATATGTGATTTAACCTTATGCCATTCATTTATAAAGGCTTATCATAATTACACAGTATGAATTATGAAAATTAAAATCACCAACATGTTAAGTCAAGAAAAGCGCATAATGAACTCAATGGTGTGTGTTGAGTACGTGCTTGGATTGGACAAAATGTAAACAAATTAAACTCAAGGTACGTATGACTGAAATATAATACATCCTGACCAAGGGCATCGCTAGAGGGGAGACAGATATGGGGCCTGCGCCGCATGCCCAAGTTTGGTAAGAGATCTAGTTTTTATGTGTGTGTTTTTGTAAAAATTGTATGCAAATATTATTGATGATATCCACTCCAATTATTTGATCTTCTTATGCCTTTTATGTGATTCTAGCTCAGGTAAGGAGACCTATAAAAATGTGAACTAATGCATTACTCTATTGAGTTGAGGAGGCATCATTACTCTAAAAACTAATCAACTTGGCTACAAACTGCAAGCATCAGGATTATTTAGTTGATGATTGATGACATCACATATAGTATGAACAAAAACTAGTGAACAAGTTTTGCCAAAAAAATTAGTGAACAAATGAGCTAAAAGTTTTGAGACAAAAAATATGACTTATGTTGTTGTGTAAATGTATATACATATCACTGTCATTATCTTTATGTACATATACTATCATAACTTCTTTATCTACATATAACATGTTCAACACTAATTACATCCACAAATGATGCATATAGCTATTTACCTATAAAAGAAACGTCAAAGGTCGAAGCTCTGATCTATAAAAATATGTACAAACGTACTAGGCTATACACTTTCTAACTAGTCTACTTAAACTAATGCTTCAACATTTTGATGACTGCTTAAAGTGCAGGTGTCGACGGGGAGAGTAGTCCTAATCATCATGCTCTGAGTGAATGCCAACATCTGGTCAAGAGAGAAATCAAAGAGGAACCATAAGTCACACAACAAAATGATGAGCTAGTTTTGTATTCACGATGCAATGTATTTCATGGATGAGGCATGTAGTAACCACTCTTTGTAACTAGATATTTATATGCTAACTTGACGTCCAATTTAATGGTTGAATTGATAAATTGGATTTAAAAGGTTCGTATTGAGTTGATAAAATTAGCAAATGATATCAAATATCATTAAACATGATAATACACACACCCACAATGGAGCATTAGTTATGTTTATCCTTAAGTATATTTATCTTCTTATCTTATTGTAACCACCTTGTAAAATTCTCCTAAGCCAGGACTACCTCTTACTTTATTTGATACATATTAACTCTACTCATTATTTCCCGGTGAACTTGTTTCCCTCTTGAGCATCAATGGAAGTGACCTCCATTACCCCCTTCGTTTAACTCAACACCCTTACCAACATTCTCATCAAAATTTTCAGTTGCCAAATTTGTAGACTAGCTGAAGCGGGTTGAAAACACATAAATATGCTTTAATCTTTCGTCAAACATCAATTAAACCCTCTTCACCCCTTTAAAAGTTTCAAATGATGCAGATAATGTTCCCAGTCTTTCTCATTCAATCTAGTATGTCAAATAAATATGACATCCTCACTAGTGGAGTTCTCATTAGCTGTACCAAGACTACTCTCCAACAATTGATATCCTTTGCGGCTACAACCAAAGGATCTTAGAGCATAGTCACCACGAGTTATGTTATTACTTTACCAAACCAAACTTTTTATACTTAAAAGAAATCTCTTTCTAATCCACATGGAAATCGTTCAATCTCATAGTACCTCAAAGGAAAGCAATCCATCACTAATGACATTGCGCATGCCAAATGCCAGTTTTCTGATATTAATTTACCCATGTCTATTCTTAACCAACTAGTGATGGATAGTACATTCATTAAAAGGCTATTAACAAATAACTACTAAAGTTTCCGGATAACAGGCTTAATGTTGTGTATTTGCAATATTGAAATGTCTATACTACAAGTCTTGAGATACTTAGAGATTAACTGTTTGAGGAATCCAATGAAGTTGTCAAAATAATACTTACTACAACGAATGGGACTCGGTGTGTTTCTCTTAACAATTATAACGATAATATTCTTTCTGGTATCTCTAGATGGCACGATCTATTTGTACGTGATGGCTATATTCATTATGGATATCTTGGAGTTTGAACTTTCCCAGTCGTATTGCTTGAGATTGTAGAAAACTATCACCCTTTTTACATAAAAATAATTTCCATTGTTGTTCGGCTCCACCAACAATCAGTTATTTAGCACCAAATTGGCTTCAAGAGATATTTTTATGGCAATTTACAACCATGAATGTTTGATTTAGGTACATCTCATCATGGCAATTTAGGTTCAAATAGCTGGAATTGTTTTGTTACAAAAATTTCAGCCTATGTCGGTCTAGATAGGATCTATCTCAGAAAAGGTAATTATCTCTCTATTTGTTACATTGGTCAAATTGTTACAATACGACTACAAGACCACTATATTTTACTCATATCTTATGTGTCCCCGTATTAATTAAAATTGAACTTATGTTTCTAAGCTATATCAAACTAATTGATTATTTGTTAAAAAAATTGCCTTGATTTTTGCCCAAGGATCTGAACACTGAGATACCTCCTATGCATGTAGGGTGAATATAGTATATACTACGCAAAATCGTATCAATCTCATGTTAAAATTTTCCATTTAAGACTTCAGTTTCGACGACCTATCTTAAATAGTTATATAGCAATTTCTTAAAATAGAACTCATACTTAAACACTTTATAGGGGGACTAGCTATGAGGAATCACTTAATGTAGTCTTGCTCAACCCCCCAACAACCTAACACTATATGTACCGTAGTGCCACCAGCAGTCCCCAATTACTTCGAGCTTGTCTAGAAATCAGTGGCTCTCTTAGAATACCGGATTAGATATAGGATGATCCGCAAATAAATCCAAACTCGTTAAAAATTGTTGATCTTCATTCAGCGTGGCCCAAAATTGTTGACCTGCTACCTGCTACGCATTGGCCTTTTAAAAATATAAAAATTTGTCGTAGGGGGAATTGATCCCTTGTAACACTCACTTGTAGATAGTGTCCGACAACTCCACATTATGAATTTTTCCACCGAATTGTGCTATATGCGAAGCAAAATTTCATGTTAACATTTTTATGTGATTTTGTTTGAAATGGTACTTTGCAGAGATGACCGGAAAAATTGGTGAAGAAGGGGAGAACATGGCCAACGAAGAAGAAGTAGTTGCAGTACGACACTGGGTAAAACTATGGTGGAATGGAGCACAAGGTACCTAACTTTTACATTAAATTTAGCATTAATCACTTTTCAACCTAGTGTGTGCCGATCCCACGATATAATTTGCGTTAATGAATAAGCAAAGTTAAATGAAAAATAACTTGTACAAGCTTAAGCTACGTATGGGCCGAGACTAAATCAACAAATGTTCTTTTTTACAATTCTGTCATATTCCAAAGTACTAAGTTGTCTACGTAATTACATAAATATATAGAAATGAATATGTACTCATACTTCATCGTGCATCAACTGAAGACTAACATCTTTTGTTTTTGTTGTGGGGTGAAACGTTGGTTTGAACTTAACACTTATTACTATTCAATTCTATACTACGTATAATGAAAGAACAGAGCAGGAATCTATAGAATGAACTTTTATTTCATACTTGTGCTAGACATTCTTTCATAAATAATACATGGTCGGTCTTTAAAGAGTTTTATTTGATCAATGGATTGAATAGGCAGCACTAATGCATGATGAAAAGTTAGATTATAAAAAATTATTGGATTAGTTCCTTAGAATCTTATTTAGTGTAGACATTACATTGAACTAGACTTTAGAGCTTTATATAATCGGACAAAAATATTGTAATCTAAAATATATAAGTATTATTTACTCTATATTACCTATAAAATATAGACTTTGAATAAACACTCACCGCAAATAATCCAGCCACCAGAATGCTGAAACCGGGGAAATGAAAAGGCGCATCATCTGAGAGAAATGTCGCTGCCAGAAAACATGGTTTTTATTTGAGATAATATGAGGAAGGATAAGATTAAATATTCATATTTAAATATAATTCATATTTTGATTTGATATGTTACTTAAAAAGGTCGGTGAGGATAACATATTTTAGCACAAACCAAAAGAATAGGACAAAGGAATGAAAGTTACAAATAAATAAATATGAAAAAACAAAATATTAAGTCATAAAGGTGGTCACCCTCGATGCCCCTAAATCCATCATTGACAAGAACAATAATATAACACGTAGTAATAAACTATTGATTTGACTTGCCAGTTAAAGGACTGAATGCCAAAGGGGAAACAACGTTAGCCAAGGAACACAAGCCTGAAATGCATCCTTGTACCTTTCCCTGAAATGGGCAAAGGAGGTATTGAGGTGAACTGGTTACCTGTTTCATAGACATAGACATATATATTCCTTATATGTTGATAGTCATATATAATTCCCATAGATATATGTTGACTTGGATTGGCCTGAAAATCAAATGATTTCCCCACATTTTGCATTAACTGGTTCTTCATTTTATTTGTTCGTGGATAGTGTCATCGGTCAAGCCGAGTTAAGTCCGAGGATCGCAGATTAGAGCTTAGCTCGAACAAATTTGGAGCCTAGCTCGAGGTAAGCTCATTAAGGTTTGGTCCTAGATTCGGGCTTATCTCGGCTTGTTAAAAGTCATACTACCTCCGTCACGTTTTATTTAGCCATCTTTGTCTTTTCTAGTCAAAGATGGTAAACCTTGATCCAATATTTTAAATAATATATTTATGTGAAACTTCATAAATTTATACTTTTATTATAGTATTTTTAACAAAAATGTTTTAATAACATTTTCATATTATCAATGCTACAATGTCTAATTATTAAATGATCAAAGTTTAACATCATTGATTTAAAAAATCAAATTTGACTAAATAAAAAAGGGTGGAGGCCGGGAGCATATAACTTCATTCAATATTTAGCTAAACTTTGACTTTAAAGAAAGACACGTTAAATAAGATATATTAAGGGCACTTGGACAGTTAGACTCCCGAAATGCTACACTCGCATCATCCCAAAATGATTTGCAACGTCTACCTTGATTCACTTTATCACTTAATTAGGATAACAAATTTGTACATTTGATTTTAATTTAGATTTTGCGATTCTGTAGAGTTTTTAATATAGTTTCTATATATGTAAATTTGATTAGTAAAGTTAATGCAATTATTTACAAGGAATATTAAATTTAATCTTTAGTTAATCTTAAAAACCACAAATTGTAAATTGGGAGGACGCATAAGTTTATGTACATAAATCTCGAACGGATTCTAGCTCGATTATGTATTGGGGTTGATCGGTCTTATTTACTACATTCAAATCCAAAGCAAATAAGTGTTTATGAATTAGGACGGTCACAAGCGACCTAAAAGACTGAATGTCACAAATATTTTTTATTAGGTAGAACTATAGGAAGTATAATTAAAAGTATGTTCATGAACATCATTATAACCTCATGCTTTCATATTTGTTAGCCACATATCTTTAATGTAAATATGAACATTTAAAACCGACGTGTAACATCTGCTATTTTAGTAGCTTCGAATTTAAAAATGCATAAGAAAGTTATAACTAATAACTTAGATTTTTTTTTCATATGAAATTTGTAACCGAAATTACCTGCTCATTACGTCCAATTTGCTTTGACACAATGCTCCTTAACTGCAAAAACATTATACAAGCTTAATTACGTACGAGTTAAGATGTTTAACTGGACTGAAACTTTTTGGTCCTTTCTTTTCTAGTTTGGTCTGATCTCAAGCGATCTGTTTAAATCTTGTCTGATTTGGTATATTTAAGTATGGTCTGATCAAAATTGTGATGAAAATAATTTCAATTAAAAATATCATTTAAAATCTTACCATTTGTGTGTTTTCACTTTATTTTCCAATCTAGGCATGTTAATAATCAATTAAAGACTCTAAATTGAAGATAAGAAGTGCATTCCGAGTATTAATTTAAGGCAATGATAAAAAACTATCAGTACGAGATTTAAAGAATCATATATACTTATTATATGATTTTTTCATGAGATTTGTTTTTTATACAAATTACTTAATATTTAAATTAATTATTATAATACAAAACATCAAATTTATCAATTTTCATGATACCATAAAATTTTTCAATTAAAAAAAGTCAAAGTATTTAAATTTGGAAATCTTACGCAGGGCATTGCAAAAATTGACACAACGGAAATAAGTGCAGCCACATAAGGAACCTGCACACTTTAAATAAATTCGTAAGAAAACAAGGCTCCTTCCATTAAAGATAAAATAATGTGAAAAGAGAGGCAATTCAAGTTTCAACCATCTGAATTTATTAAAAGTGGAAATAACATACCCAATACGTCCAAGCAATGCTGTATAAAAACATCTGCATTTCAAGGTAAATAGTCCATTAAGTTTTACCATTTCTAATTATACCCGGAACTTGGTGTCAAAATAATTTATACTAAGAACTAAGGGCCTAAACGTCACGCATTTATGTAGGAATTCCAATCTACGAATGAATAAATCATAACAGAACAATTTAGGCCCATATGGGGCAGTAACTTTATAGGATGTCAAAGACACCATTGAAAAATATTCATATATGACACATTGAAAACCTAAGCATGTGAATATGCATCCGATAGGTGGTTTTGAACTGAACTAAGATTTTATGTTTTTCTGGTCTAATTTTGTCTCAACTGGTTTGGTATGTTTAGGTTTAGTCTTATCTAAGTTCGTCTCATTTGATCTGGTAAATGCCTATTTTATGTGTATCTACTGTTCTCTCAGTCTGTTATTGTATTTTCTGCACTCTTCTAGTCAAATTTGGTGTATTTGATTTGGTTTGTTTTACCGAAACCGATAACTATAAACATAAGTGTAACATATGAATGTATTTCAAAATATATATCGTATGTACACTTCCGACAAAATTAACTTTGTTGCGTAGAATTAATTCGTATGAGGTGGTTGTGAACGACCTGCTTTCCGTTTCTATAGTTAAGAACAAGGACAGTGTCATTGTAACTTCCTTGCAAGCTTTGCCAACTTGATTTATTTACTTAATCGTTTTAAAAAACTCTGTCAATTTCGTTTAAATAAATATTCAGTTAAAATTATTTCTCTCTATTTCGCGTAAATATGAAAAACATAATTTTTACTTTATTATTCTATATGCAGGTTAACTTTTGTTAATTAAGTTTTAGAGGATGGGAGGAGTAAATAACTACATACATGTAAAATATCTCATCCCCGTTCTAGCGGCTTATACGCTTTTGTGCTTAAAATATTGGAAAAATGGAAACTAATAATCCAACCTTTTAACGGTCTTCTTACAATAGTCTCAACTTTTCATTATTCAGGAATAATCCAACCTTTGCACCCCATCTTCATTCAATGGTCCCTGACCGGTTGATGACCTGTTATTCCAAGTTATTTTCTCATCTTTGCAAAACATTATGTGACCATAAGGTAGGATTTATGGTATAAAATTTTACAAAGATAAGAAAATAACTTGGAATAACATGTCATCAACCGGTTAGGGACCAACGAATGAAGATGAGGCGCAAAAGTTGGATTATTCCTGAATAACGAAAATGTGAGACTATTGTAAGAAGACCGCTAAAATGTTTGATTATTAGTTTCCATTTTTCCTAAAATATTTGTGTGCTTACTAAATCCTTACATGAATAGAGCTGAAGAAGAGCCCTATTGAGAGTAGTTTTTCTTCTCCAATCGCAGGTACTAACAAAGGCAAAAGAACCAGCTGCAACATTTTCAATTGAGAACCAACTAGTGAGACTAAATTATTAACAAAGAGTCTAAAAAAGTACTCCATTCGTTCACACTTTGACTTCACAGATTTTTAGGTGAGATAATATTTCACGCGGACTTTCCTCTTGTCCCCTTATAACAAAAAGTAAAAAGAGGTAAAATCGAAGGAAAAGAAAAATGACTAGGTCAGTTGTAGATATAAATGTCTCTGAATACAAGAATATTTACTTTAATGGAAGCGTAAACTTTTATTTGAGACACTTCAAAAAGAAAAATGTGAACTTAAATATGGTACAAAGAGAGTGTATTTTATCATTTTGATCGATCATTATTTATTTAGATTTGTCATAGTCACTCTTTAATTTAATTCACTTAAAATTTCTTAATCTGTCGATGAAAGCATATATACCTGTGATACTGCCCCTGCAACACCGCCGATTATCATCAAATCAGCAAATTGATTTTTATCGAAGTGAAATTGCGCCTTCAAGTAGTACTGCACATCAAAGTTGATGTAAAATTAATATCTCTACTCATTATAATTAGTTAATTACTTAAAAGCCTTCCGGTGCTATTTGCCATATTTATTCTTTAACTCAAAATAACTTTTGGTACTTTTCCATTTTGTCTTTCTTCCTGAAATGAAACCCATAACTCTCATAATTCTCTTTGTCTAAAAACACCATAAGCCAAGCTATGATATATTATGAATTTACATGAAAAGCTAATAAACAAGCTACTAATGTATAAATATGTATTGACTGGGATGGAATGAAACTGACAAGCAGTGAGGCTTGGAGACCAATGTCAGCTACATTTATTAGCACTGAAACTATGGCTGCTCGGGAGATAGTTGGGCTGCAAATGATGAAAAAAGATACCTGAGTTAATATGTATGTGCTTGTGTGTGTTTTTAATGGAAAAGACATAATAAATAACTCGCGGATCATCAATTAGACAAGCACTTCCAATTCGGTTACAATTCAAGTCCTAGGATTTAGACATAAAATTATTCACGTTTGAAATAGTACAATAACTCGCTTACCACTGAACGAAAAACATGAAGCTTACAATGACCAAATAGATAGAGCATGCCCCTCCAAACATCTCTAAATACTAAAATGACTTTCTTTTGGATTAATCTTTATAATATTGTTTCGAGTTTAATTGTCTTTTTTAATATACGAAATAATAAGATTATCATTACTATTTACATATACTATTTTCACTAGTTTAAATAATTACAAAAGGAGGTAAACATCTTGTATCTTGATGACATCATTGTGACATCTTAAGGAGGAGGTCAGAATTTCGAACCTCATCACCATCAAGGATGTTGGCATCCAACAGAACAGATACTATAATAAGTGAGAAAGTACAACAAAAAATCACATTAAATATGTGTTTCAACTCAATCAAAACTAAGTACCTCATCCTTAACAAGAGCAATGCATCACTGAATGAAGGCAAGTTCCTAACTTGCATGCTTTTCTTATGAGCCTTTTCTAGAAGACAATGAGTCTCGGTTACATTGATTGAAATGACATCTTTTACCAAAGACTCTCGTAGAAATGTCCGCATGTATAGTAGTGCTATTATCGCCATCAGCGCTGCAGTCTATGCACAACATCATAAATAACTGTTTTACGTAATTGTTAATTAGGTTTATAGTACAAAAACTGCATTTATCTCTTTATTCAAATGTGTCAATTATATTGAGACAAATTTTGTGGAAATGAGGAGTTCATTAAATTTTAGAGATAAGAAATACTCCCTTTGTCCCCTTTTAAATGTCCCGTTTTACCATATTGGGATGTCCCTATTTAATTGCCTCATACCTTATTTGGTAAACTTTGTGTGGCTCAAAATCATTCTTACTTTATTCTTACTTTATCAATTAATATCAACCACACAAACTCACTTTTCTTAAAACCCGTGCCACTATCTCCCGTCCCATTTAAAAGGGGACGGAGGGAGTACTCTTCAAGTACATGACATAGAGTGTGTGTGTGTCTATGTGTATAATAGAGATCAAATACAAACTCTCATTAATTTACAAACTACAAACTGATCATCTTGACCATTCGATGAGTTGATCTAAAGGCTATTAAGACACAGTGACTTTTTGTAATAAAAGCCAACTTGTTTAGGATGCAACTTTTTGAACGCTAATATACTTTTATGGCTGAATAATATGCAACACTTTGAACTTCAAAATATAATATAAACAACGTAAAGATGCATTGTACAAAAGTTTGCACAATAAACATAGTTTGTCCTTGACTCTCTCTCTCTCTCTCTCTCTCTCTCTCTCTCTCTCTCCCTATATGTGTGTGTGTGTGCATATGAATGCTCATGAACATTAAGGGTATATATATGTTACTTATTGAATATATACTAAAATAGTATATTTGTTTCAACTTTGTATTTTTGTGTGTTTAAGATATACTCTGTATATTTGTTCTTTCACACATAGTCGAGAAGTATGTATGGTCCTTGGCTAGCTTCCTTATTATGAAGCATTTTGTTCGAGTAATATTGTCTTATGCAATATGAGATAGATCAAGGGGATGTAATATGGCCTAAGATTATCTTAATAAATGTGTGATCATAATTTATCTCGTGTGTTTGGTTGAGATAATTAAAGAAATGTAATTTTTTTCTTTTTAACATATTTTTTTTAATAATACTCCGTACATGATTTGAGGTTAATAAAACTTAACTATTGTACCATAAAAGAAAAACTTCGCTATCCAATATAATCACATTGCCCATCATAATATTACTTCACTTTATTTTGTGCTGGTAGTATAAGATATTTTTATTATTATCTATCATATCACGCAATCTTAAATTTTGAACTAAACAATAAAATCACGCCTTAAATTATTCGTGATGACCTTATGACTCCAACCACCCACACTTATTAACTAATGTAATCTAATTAACATTAACTCAATAATATTCTCAAAAGAATCTTAGGTAATTAATCAACATCACTTAAACCTACTATTCTCTCAACACTGTAAGATTGTCTCATTTTTCCTCTTCAGTCCGTCCCACTAAAATCGTTTAATGTAAATTTGGTAAAATTATTCTTATAGTATTCTTACTTTATTAATAAATATCAACCACATAAACTCATTTTTCTTAAATAGCACATCTCCTCCTCATGTTCTAATGTTAGTGGGGCAGAGGTATTATGTAGTAGGAGAGAAATAAATGAGTATTAAAAGAGGGAGATAACAGACTTGGAACGTGAAGGCAGTGGAGAGAAATCGAGCAGAAAGATTTCCACAAACAAAAGCAGTGGAAACAATGCCGGACATGATTCCAAAGGCGGAGCCCCGACGACACTCTGAAACATTATCTGCCTGAAACACAATCTCGGCCAATGCACAAACATTAAATATATATTTTTACATTGAACAAATTCAACCATTGCATCAATAAATTTCATAGTAGTATAATTTTTTACATCGAACAAATTAAATCATTTCATCTATAAATTCATCAATTTCAGAAGAATCGATCAAATCGGCCAATTGTAGTGTTACCAAACGACTCTAAATTTGCTCTGTTTGGACATATTCACTAGGGCTGCAAATTGATGGCCTTGCGCCATCTAGTATGTTGTCTGGTGTATGTGTTTGATCTAGTCTAGTAAAGTGTGTAATTACTACTACCTCTGTCCCGGTGGATTTTGCCAAGTTTAAAGTAGGTGAAGATTAAGAAAAGTAAAAACTTTGTGGTTGAGGTGTGCAGAGGAGGGAGAATTGTGTAGAATCACAAATTAGTTGTTTTGATAGGAAAGTGACAAAGTTTTTTGGGATAACAAAAAATGGAAAGTTGACAAAGTCCAATAAGACAGATGAAGTATTATCTTAGTTTGAATAAAGTCTTATATTCTCTATTTACATGCATTTTATCATGTCCAATGAAACAAATTCAAGTTAATAGGTAATTCGTTCAAATATAGTTGAAATAACTCAATTTGCAACTGTAAAGAAAAGGAAAAAGAGCAACAAAAATGATGAAAAGTAGTTCTAAACGTGGTCTGGCTTACCACATAAGCAAGAGCAATGCACTGAACGCTTCCATCACAAACCATGGCAATTAGGGTTCTTAGTATGTAGTAAGCATAGAAATAGTACTTGGACCTGCTGTATGCCATTATCACTGTTCCACACAATCACATAATTTGGGTGGTATTTAATTGAGTACAAAAATGTACCGAAACTCTTTCAAATGTATCATAAAAAAATGTACTCAAATTAAAATAAAACATGATTGAAGGATCACATTTTAAAATGAATGGATAATTCTACATTTGAGAATCATACACACACATTTTTATGTTTTTGTTATTATGATATTCTCCTTGTTTTCAATTTTGTGCACATTTGTTAAGCACATTTGCTATTTTCTTGGATTTGGGTGTTGTTGATAGATTAAAATTTGATGAAATGACCAGAATGACCTAGTCTTTTATGTTTGACATTTCCCTGTTTTTATATTCGAATATTCTTTGTTGCAAATCTCATTTGATATGGTCTAGTTAAATTTCTTTTGATTTGATTTTTAGCGCTGACCTTGTTTGATACGTAGTATTTTTTTATTCAATATGACACGGAGTGTTTAAGTTTGAGTTTCAATTTCTAACTAATGTAAAATCGTTCGATTTTTATTAAGATTTGTTCCTCCATCTTCGTCTCATGTCTGAAATTTTCCTTTGCCTTAATTTCAAAATCAAGCAAACAAAAATTTAAACAACCAAGCTAAAACTGATTAAGGATGTTTTTGTTGGACTGAAATATTTATAGTATAGTTTTAGATGATCTAGTCTTGTTTGGTCTGAACTAATTCGGTCTAGTCTAGTAAATGTCTAGTTTTTGTGTATTTTACAACTATTGAATTATGGTCTGATCTGATTTGATCGGATCTAGTAAAAACATCCTTACTCTTATAAGTATGTATGAAGGTTTCTTTTTGTTAGTACATATACTGATATACACATCTTATATATACGACATTTTATCCATTGTGTTTCTTTTTGTTTCACAACCAATTTATGTGAGGACGCAGACGGTAGGGTTGTAAACGAATCGAATCGAATACTGAGTAATACTATTCGTATTCGTATAATTAAACGAATATTCGTATTCGTATTCGGATATTATTCGAATCTTAAATTAGATTCGTATTTGATTCGTTAATGATATTCGAATATATTTGTATTCGAAAAGTCGAATTCGAATTCGAATATTTGTAGGGGAAATTTTTTCACACATTCAAATTATCATGTTTTGTATGTATTTTATTCGATTTTCGCAAATATTTCTATTAACTGAACTATTTTAAAAAAATCAACTACTTCAAAAATCAATTGGAAACCCGTTCAAAATAAAGTAGACCTGTACAAAAGCGGGCTCGGCCCGGGCTCGGGCCGGGCTTTCCATAAGTTTTCTGCCCATCATGTGTGGGCGGGCCCGGCCCGCAAAAACGGGCCTAACCCCGTGTCCATACCCGCCCGTAAGAGCGGGCCGGGTAGTCCACCGGGCCGCCGGGCCCGGTAAAACATTAAATTTTTCAAATTGTATAATTTATTTATTACTTTATAAATAATATTAAAACATTTTAAAAATTGCTAATACGCTTATAATGTATATAGGCCTTTCATCACATACACAAAAAATATTTACACAAAAATAATAATGAGAAACTATATCTAAAATTTAAAATTCAAACACAAGGTATTATCTTTAAGTACAAAAATAGATATTATATTGGTTGGACTATTTGTTAAGAACAAAAAACTCAAATTTAAACATAATAAACTATAAATATGTATACAAATAAATTAGTAAATATGAAAATATACAAGTGTACATGTAAATAAATACATAAATTAGTATATATAAAACTATATATGTATATATACTAAATGTAGTGGGCCGGGCTTATCGGCCCGAACGGGCCTACACCCTAACCCAAGCCCGCCCATATGTTGTTGCGGGCCGGGCCGGTGGGTAAATATATATGCCCAAGCCCGCTAATTTGTGTAGGCGGGCTGGGCGGGCCGGCCCGGTTTTGTACAGGTCTAAAATAAAGTAAACAATGTAAAATCAATTAATCAAAAAATCAATTACTTAAAAAACTATAAATGAAAGCACAAAATTAATTAAACTAATAAATTTAAATTTAAATTTAAACTAACAAAAAACTATTTTAGTTATTTTAATTTAAATTAATATGAATTATAAATTTAAATATAATAATTTAAAATATAATTCATGTAAATACAAATCGAATATATTCGTATAACATAGGAATCGAATATATGTATATTCGTATTCGAATTTTATTCGAATAACAAAACCGATTTGTATTCGTATTCGTATTCGATTTTTTCGAATTCGAATCATCAATTTCGAATTCGAATCACGAATCGGATCAAAATTATTCGATTCGTTTACAACCCTAGCAGACGGGTACACTATATCTTACGAATAAAAACAAATTGTTTATTGTACAACTAATAATGTAAATAATTTAAAGTATAGTGAATGGAAAGAGAATGTTACCTAGTGGGAAAATTGAGAGAGCCAAGGGTATAGTCAACATAGTTTTCCTCCCATAGATATCAGAGAGATTGCCTACCAACGGCATTATCACCAGCGATCCCAATCCTATTATCTGTTCAAGAGTTGAAGCTAGGGTTATAAACGAATCAAATAATTTGTGCTCTATTCGAGATTCGAATTCGTATAAGACAACTCGAATTCGGAAAATTCAAATACAAATAAAAATAAGAATATTAAATTTGATTCGAGTTGTTATCAAATACAAATAAGAATATTAATGTATTCGATTTGAATATTAATCAAATATATTCGATTAATAATAATGGTAATATTAATATCAATATTAATAATAAAAGTAATAACACTATAATAACTTTTCAAAGATAGCAATACCCTCACACTGTAGCCCATTAATACATTTTTGTATACAGATTCCAAACCCATTTGTAATAAGCCAGAATATAAATACGACTACAAATCATTTTTTGGTTGAAATGTCTTTCAATATAATACAAATAATTATGTATTCGATTTGAAGAATAAAATTAGAGTTGTTTGACTTTGATATATACAATTATCAACTTATTTCACACATTATAAGTATAGTTTATAATGTGTGTGTTAGTGTTTTATTTCAAAAAGTTTGAAATAGATTTATATTTATTAATCATAAAATTAATTCACTTTAGTATATTGTGCACTATCTAAAACCACATATTAAGTCATAGCATGCATTTGCAAAAAGAAGAAGTCATAACATGCATTTACGACATAAAAAAATACGGAGTATAAAAAAGTTATTTTAAAGTGATACATAGTATTTGACTAATATTTAATCTATTCTCAAATTGATTCGATATTCGTATATGATTCGTTAACTATTCGTATTGTTAAACAAATACAAATTGAAATTAATATTCGTTTCATATTTGAATTCGAATTCGTATTCGAAAAAATTAAACAAATACAAAATCTCATCATTCGACTCGATTTGGTTCGTTTACAACTCTAGTTGAAGCGCCACACATCAGGAGTGTTTGCTATAACTTTAATTAAGTGCTTATAAGCTTTTAGATTAAAAAAAGCTAAAAATGTAGTTGCTAATCCCAACTTCTAATTAAAAGAAGTGCTTTAAAGTTAAAACCTAGAAGCTAGAATATACGTAGTACTCTTCTAAGTGCTTCTAGGTATAGTTGTAAATAACTCCAACTTTATGGATAATAATGGCAAGAAAATCTCTAAACCCCCAATCACAATCACTTTTTTTTTTATCACAATCACTATTTATCAAACACTCCAACTTTTACATTTTAATTAAAATCACTTTTATTCTCAAACACTACATACTTTTACTATAAACCACTTTTTCAATAATCTCTTAAAAAATCACTTTTACAGAACACAAACAATCACAAACACTACTTCCATAGTAATTCATACAGAGTACATTTTTCTAAGAGAATATTCACACTTTATCTCTTAAAAAATGGACAGTTACACATTAACTTTTATTTTTTCTTGTGATAAGAATGAATAAGTGTATCACAAAGTGACAAAGTAGAACTAAAAGAATATCAGATTGTGAATATACTTCATACAGTGGATCGGAGGACCTAGGGGGCATGGGGTAATTTACGCGACTAAGCGCCTTGTTTCTTCTATGAAAAACAGTTTTAGTTTTAGAGTCAATTCCTTAAATAGGACTAAAAAGTGGCAAAATTGCACAAATAGGACTACATTTTTTAAATTCCCTTAATAGGACTATTTATGTGTGTTTGGCCAAATATACCCTTGTAACTTGTGAAATGTTTTAATTAATAATAAAATCATACAAAAATAATAAAAAATCGAAAAAAATACTAAAAATCGTAAAAAGATAATAGAAAATTAATAAAAATATTTTTTAAAAAATTAAAAAAAAATATTTTTTTAAAAAAAAATAAAAAAAATAAAAAAAATCATAAAATTAAAAAAAAAAACATTACCACCCCTGCCACCCCCCAGCACCACCAGCTCCCATCACCGGAGAAAAATATGCCAACATTTTAAATAATGCCATAATGATGGCATATTCAATGAAAATGTTGGCATATTGAAGAGTAATTATGCCATCTTTTTGGCATTTTCAGAAAAAGATGGCATTTTTTTACCAAAAGTGGAAGAAATTTCACCAATCGGAGGTGGTGGTGCTGGGAGGCGGCGGATGGCGGTGGGAAATGTATCCATAACTTTTTTCATTTTTTATGGGTTTTTACTATTTTTTATTATTTTTTAAAAAAAATTTAAAAAAATAAAAATTAAATTTTTTATTTTATAAATGTTTTATAAATTTTTTATAATTTTTTTACGTTTTTTAAATATTTTTTACGTTTTTTTATGATTTTATTATGAATTAAAGCATTTCATTATGAATTAATACTCTTAGGGGTATTTAGGGTAGAAAATCTATGTTTAGTCCTATTTAGGGAATTTAAAAAGTAGTAGTCCTATTTGTGCTTTTTAGGAACTCATTAGTCCTATTTAAGGTTGTAGAATTATGCCCCGAATTTAATCATTTGAAACATATTTGTGATTATATAACTGTTAGGCATAGATAGGCATCGGTCTGGTCCCATTTGGTTCCGATTTCATCCGAGACTGTAAGATTAAATTTCAACATCAACATCATATAATTTTACATAATCATATATTGATATATCGAGATTTAGGAATACCCGAGATTTACACAATTAAGTAATATAATTCTCTTTTGGTTCAACCTTATATCATAGACTAAATCTTTGTTATTTTCGAATTCAGTTTTGGCGATTCAATATAACTTCTTTTATATTTCAGAATATGTAAATGATTATTAACACTATTCATATTTATATATGGATTTATGGAAGAGCTAACCCTATCATTGCCTCATTAGTCAATCATTGTACTTAAGTTACTAGAGTAGTAATGAAATCATAGTAATTAATGTTCAAGTTTTGAACTTAAGTTACTACAACACCACCTTATAGTAATGAATAGTTATATTTATGTAAATAAGTTTTATTTTAGTAATATTCTTGTAAAAAACTCATCATTGTAAACTACATTAAGAGCCTTGAGATGAGCTCGAGGGGGCAATAGTTTACGCCATACATAAGTTAATATTTGGACATTTTCCGTCAAATTTATTAACTTTGTTAATTTTTCAAAATTCATATTATTTTATAAAACAAATATCATTTCAAATACTTTTATGTAACACGTAAATATTATTGAAATCTTATTTTACTTTAGATTTATAAGTTAATCGTCAAACGTTTGTTTTGAAGATTGTGAAAGTCGAATTTTGAATTTAATCCTGGAAATTATGCGACTTTAGGTTTGTATATAAGGGGCCCGTTTGGTAACACCCAAATCGGCTGTATCGGCTGATTCTGCTGAAGTTCTGGCTGAAGTGGCTGTATGGGCTGATTCTGCTGATTTGTGAAAAAAATATTTAAAATATATTTTATTAATAAAATAAAGAAAAAATTATATGAAAAATAGTTAAAATGCTCCTCTACAGTAACTTCAGCCAATACAGCCAGAAAAGAAACTTCAACCTTACTTTTTCTGCTTATTACACAATTTAGCGCACGAAACTAAAAGTTACGTGTTTGGCGAAAAAGTTGGTTGATAAGCCTGAAAAACCAAATATCATGGTTACCAAACGGGCTCGAGGTGTGTTTATTTGGCAGTAGAAGACAATCTAACAACTCTATTCGTTCCAAAATTCATCCTGGTAATATAAAATCACATTTATCACATTGTATCTCAGGATCAATGAATGAATATTAATGAGCAAAAGTGCAAAATTCATGCTAGTTAGTGAATTCTCCATTAAGTCAAGATTATGGAAACTTTTTGCGTCACGAGTTGCTTTTACCCAATATATGGTAATAACATTTTTTGGCCGAAAAGAACTTATCAAGTTCATATATGTATATAGGATTTTCCAAAATTTATTACTACTTAAATGATGATTCCACGTTGGATTGATGATGTTGCCAAGTTACCAAACTTTAATGGAAATTTTCATCCATACACATTCACTTCTACACGTTTTGTAAACACCCAATATATTTTATTGGTATCACTGATGATTCCTTTAAAAACTGTCACAGAAAAATACTATGTATACAAGCATCTACAACAAATGAAATTACTTTTTTTGCAACGATGAATTCACACTTAAGAGGAAGTGAAAACAGATGAATTCTCCAATGTTTGTGGTGATTTATTTGAGAATATGTGAAAAACTGCCAAAGTAATTTTTTGAAGGGAGAACTCTCATATAAGCCCTCGAACTTACATAAAAAGTGCAAATCACCCTTTTTATAAGAGGCTGTGTTCGGCCGTCGCCATTTGGGACGGTTTCTGATGGAATTTTTTGATGATTTTTTGAGCATCTTCTTCATTAAGTCTAGACCCATACCAAATTTCAGCTAAAAATTTATCCGAGAAGGCAGTCAAATGATTTTCTGAAATATAATGCGCTGCTTAACTGCGCAGTTATCTTCAAATATTCATTTGACTGCTTTCACGATTGAATTTTTAGTCAAGATTTGGTATGAGTAAACTAGACTTAATGAATAAGATGCTCAAAAAAATTTATCAAAAAATTTCACCTAGAACCGCCCGAAATGGCGACGGCCGAACAGAACCTCCTATAAAAGGGATGATTTGCACTTTTTATGTAAGTTCAATGGCTTATTTGGTAGTTTTCCCCTTTTTGAATGACCAAAGTATTTATTTAATAAACATACTTATTGTGTAATAAAATAAGCGAAAAGCAATTCAAAACTCTTTTCAGCTTCCAGATTTTAGTTTTAAAGTGTTTAATTTAAGTATAAATACTCGTTTGGAAATGTGCTATTTTAAAGTTAAAACCTGACAAAAAGGTTAGGCCAATTTCATAAGAATAAACCTTACTTTCAGTGATTTTACAATAATAATTCCTACTTAGAGTGTTCACAGGAATAAATTGGGATAAATTCAAACTAATGTCGGTATAATACTCTCAACCTCAACTCTCACTTTTCCTTTTCTCGCTCTTCTTTTCAACGTGAATTCAAACTAATGATCATTTAATCTCAACATCATTTCATCATATGTGATTTTCTCTAGATTGAAAGATAGAAGTGATACTCTAGACGATTAGACGAACAGTGGGGAAAAGGAATTACTTGTATAAACACTCTGAATATGAATTATTATTATTACAGAATTCCTGAAACTATGGATTATTCCTATAAACTTGGTTAGAAAGTGAAGCAAGCAAATTAAAAATGCTCCCAATACGTCCTTGTTGGCAGAGTTTTCTAATTAGGCAAGGGAAAAAAAATATGAGAAAACAGAGCATTGTAAGAAGCAGAGTACTCTGTATAAAAATAACTAATTAAATAAGTACCGCGTGTTGAATCCCGGAGAGGTAGATGGCTAATGAGCATTCATCTTTTCCGGGGCAAACCGCCGACATCGTAATGTCGGTAATTGCCGGAATCACCATGGCCGCCGAGAAGCAGCTGAGGAACGCTGTCATGAAGAGGTGGCTCAGCCCTGTTGGAACTTTCTCCATTGCTGCTACTTCCTAGCTTGCTCGGTTGTGTAGTAACTTTAAAGACAAGGAAAGGATATCTAGTAAGCCAGTTTCTGCCCCTACTTAAAAGAATTTGGAGCTAAATGCTGGGGGTATAAATTGGAGTTTAAAAAGGCAGGACTCAACACCAATGATAGCCTTTATCTTTGCGTACAAAGTATGAGTAATGAGCAAATTATATACATCATGTAAAATGGAAGGATCAGCCCATACATGAGGGCCCTCCAACATAGATATTTAACTAGCTATGGAAGTAGAGAGTCAAGATAAATAGTTCCTTAGTTGTCATATACGGAGTATATATTTTTTGTGAGCTCGATTAGCACGTCAAATAATAAAGTAAAAATTGTGCAATTAAGATTTATATCGTATATATAGAAATTATTATAGAAATCATAAATCAACTTATTGAAATGGAGAGTATCAAAATTTGTGGGATAATCTAAAAAGAAAATTGTTGAGGTTTATTCTTTCAACCCAAAGGCCCAACACGTTCCCTTTGGATTTGAGTGGAGAGTTTAACGAGTATATGATGCAAACAAGTAAGACGAGTATATGATCCGTATCTTATTAAATGATAATAAGGGTTCGTATACAATACACTTCACTACTAGCCCTGAGGTCGTTAGTCTATCTCACTTAAGAAGAGCTAAGATAATTGCTATTTGTTAGAGAAAATAACTTGACAACCATTTATAATGAAATAAATGCTAGTATTTATACTACCAAAGGGTAGATAGTGTTGCTGATGTGGAGGATTGTGGATGACTAGCTTCCAAACCATCAAATCTAGTGCATTAAATGCGCCTCCCGCCAGTATCTTTGTTTCCCGCCAAGAGCACCGGACAAGAGTCCCCCGGGCTTTGGACCCTGATGAGTGCAAGGGTCTGATTTCGTACGGCTTATGCAAGTTATCTGGCTGAGAGTCCTGGAATGTCATGTGGCCTTTATTAGACCAAGGCCACTGGAGCCGATCGTCTTGGAGAATGGACACCCTGATGGACCACGTCGATTGGGCCTTAGTACTCTATCTGCTAAAGGGTAATGGACCAATCCACAGTCGGGCCCATTAACCCAACAAAAATATGACAAGATTATTAGGAATGGAGTTTGTATCTTGGGAGTCTTTGTGAAAATTGAAAAAGACCAAGACGATTATAATGAATCAATCAGTGAACAAAATTAGAGACCGTTTGGTAACACTAAAATTGGTTGAATCGGCTTATTTTGCTGAAATTTCTGAAGTTCTGGCTGAAGTGACTCGATTGGCTAATTTTGCTGATTTATGGAAAATTTATATTTAAAATGTTTTTGATTAATAAAATAAAGAAAAAAATATGTGGAAAACAAAAACTAAAATAATCATCTACAGTAATTGCAGTCAATACAGTCAGAAAAGTAACTTCAACTTTTTCTTTTATTACACAATTTAGCGAGCGAAATCAGAAGTTATGTGTGTGAAAAAGTTGACCGACAAACCTGATAAGCCGAAAAACAAGGTCACTAAACGGGCTCTTAATACTAATCTCGTCCCATTTCTTGTATCTTGTTTCGATTTGAGACAATTATTAGTAAATATAATTGAAAATTAAAATTTTGTGGTTGATTGCATGTTAAGTAGAATAAAATGATCGAAATGAACCATAGATTTCTTGCGGAAAAAACTCATTCCATTTACTTTCAACACTCAAAACGAAAAGTAAGCCACAAGATGGGACCAAGAGACTACAAAGTAAACAGAAATATAGGAGTGATAACGTTTTGAAATTTCAAAATATGACTATCATGTTTTTTATTCCCTGAATAGGAGTAATGTGTCAAGTTTGGAAAAAAATGTCTTGTTTAAAGCCTAATAATGTCAAACTTAGAAGAAATTTACTCCTATCAATGAAATAAAAAACATGATAGTTCTATTTTTAAATTTCAAAACGTTTTTACTCCTATTTAGGGTATTCTCTCCAAAGTAAACCCTATATAACAACTTGAGTTGATTTTTTAACTTGAACACCACAACTTTCAAAAGCAAAACTTGAACACCAAATTTTTAACTTGAAATTAGAGTCGACCTGATTTTTTGTCATGGTATGAGACTGAAAATATGAATAACTGAAAATGATTATATTGAACTATTGAGTGAACAATATATGAAAAAAATCGATATAAATATATTTGAACGTGCTGTGAAATCTTAAACTCAAATGTGACAAGTCATTAGTCATCTAGCCGACTATTTGTGTCAAGAGGAGTGTTGGCGAACAAGGCACATAAATGAATCTTGAAGGTGGAGAAAAGAGAGAATATAACTTTTGAGTTATGACTGACTATCTCCTTTTTGCCCTCTTTCTTCAGAATTTCTTTTAAATATGTTTGATATTCCGTATTTTTCTTCAACATTTTATTTTGCTATTATAATACGGAGTAATACTTGACTTTACTTTTCAAACATTTCACACTACCCATGTTTGTGTAATGGACTTGAGAGTGGCTAAATCATAAAATAAGACCTCATATTATAATTACCGAAAAGAATGTAATAATAGTTCACAATATTACATAAATCATAGCATTTGTGTCCATGTAAGATTGATGGAACAAGAGGTGATATGATTATTAATAAAAGTTAAGTTGTGAGGTTAACTTTGAATATTTAAATTATTATAAGTAAAAAAGAATGAATATTACACAAATATGATCAAATATGACGCATGATAAACTTAATGAGACGGATGAAGTAGGTAGACCAGAAGATTAAAATCAAGTGAATTCACATAAGTAAAAAGCTATCATGATTGAAAATGCTTTTGTTATTCTAGAAGCGATGTAATTTTTGTAGATTGAAAGGATAAACAGAAAATGATCAAAAATTAAGAATGATTGTAATTGAAATGATTTCAGTTTTATACAATATTAAACTTAAATAGATCAGATCAGACTTACACAATAGTAAAATAAACATATCATGGACGTGTACATATCTTAAATAGACAATAACAAATTCAAACAAATCAGATCAATTTAGAATATAAAATTTCAATAATATCTTTTTTTTTGCAGGGAAAATTTTAATAATATCTTAAATAACAAAAATGCCAAATGTGTAATGAGCAGAACGTGAAACTCAATTTTTGAATTGAAGTTAAGGAAAAGGGTTGTACACACTACTTTTTGTCGTCCCATATTCCTTTAGTCATATGGCCTACTTCATGATAATTCCTTTTGCCATAGATTCGCTTGCTTAATTTAATGTAGTTCCTTTTTCGAAGTTTGTTGATGAATTTCACATTTTAGAGTCTTCAAAATTTGTGAGCCATGTTCTATTCATTAAATTTATTTTTCATTAAAGATTTTCAATCCTCTCAGCTTGGTTTTTGTGCTGCTCCCTTCTTAGGAAAAGAAGTACACTATTTGTAATTCATATCCTCGAGTAACAATGATGTTTATTAATTATAAAAGGAAATTTCTCGTGAATATAAGAGATCTCTTTGAGTTTATTGTAACGATCCAAATATGATATTAATATAATTTTTTTTTCCCTTCTTAAATAAATTATCATTGTTTTATTGCCAAAATATGACTCATTTACATCTAAATAATTATTTCTAATACTCCGTATATTTTATCTGGATTGTAAAAGTAGTGTTTTGTGAACAAAGCATATTTATTTAATCCTATTCCTTATCTTGGTTCATGATTTACTTTTATCTTATTATTATGGGCAGTTTCTTTATTGGATTAGGTTGAGCTTTTAAGGGCATCTTGGCATGTAATATTTTTTATTGAACTAATTTCAACCCTGATCAGATTAGATAAGAACATATCAAATTAAAAGAGATCACAACAGATCATATCATATTAAACCAAACATCGATAATAGTAAAATACACATATAACCAACATCTACCAAACCAATCAAGTCCAGTGTAGACCCAATGAGACCCAACTGGATTCAAACAAACCAGATTAGAAAATTTTAATTTATTAAAAGTCATGAAATTGAAATTTTCAAGTCTAAGCTGGTTTGATTTGTTTAAATTAGGTTAGGATAGTTTAAATGTTTTGTGATATTCTCTAGCTAGTCAAAGTCTCATATATGGTCTGCCCTTTTGCATTTATTATGAATATGATCGGACCGAAAAATGAGAGGTTTTAGGATGTTTTCTTTTGGACTGTTTTCAGTCCCAGACCAGACCAGACCAGATCAGACCAGACCAGACTTAAACAAACCAGACCAGACTTAAACAGACCAGACCAGACCAGACCAGACTTGGATAGTTATAAAATACACAGAGACCAGACATTTACCAGATCAGACCAGACCAGCTCAGACCAAACCAGACCAGACCAGACTTAAACAGACCAGACCAGACCAGATCAGACCAGACCAGACCAGCAAATTTCAGTCCAAAAGAAAACATCCTTAAGCAGCGATATATGATTCATTTATGTAGTCATATGGCCTAGGTAATCATCACCGTAATTACACATTTTTTAGTGAAGATCCTGCTAAAAAATAAGTAGGAGTCATCAAGCGCGGAGCCAGAAAAATGACTCAGCGGGGTCGAAATCAAATTTACATAGAATCAAAACGGTAGATTACTTTTAGACAATACCCGAATTGAATGTAGCTTAGATAAATGATAGTTTAAATGAAACTAATAGAGTATATGTGGTTAATATACTTCGTATATGTCACATATATTATAAACATGTTTTATACGGGTTGAGTTGAGTACCTCGGATGAGACCCATTGTCTTACCCTAGTACTCTATGATTCTCTTCAATCTTACTCGGTTTAGTATCAAAATTTCTTACTAGAAAAGAATCATTTATTGAGTAGACACTCGTAGCAGTAAGATATGTTGTATTTGCTGTCCCTAAGTCATGTCACGTAAGTAACGAGTAAATTACACGCTATTTTGTGAATATAATTAATATTACGCATCACAATTTTACTAATTTCAAACTTAAATAGTGCTGATTTTGCAGAAGTCATAATTTTTTACTCGTAATGAGTTACGAGAGCCATAATATATCAAATCGAAGATATTTCAGAGCTCTACAATCTCCGCTCCTGGGAGTCATATATGACTAAAAATTTTGGTCAAAAGATTAGAGGAAATGTGACGTGATGCTTAGCTTGGAATGCAAGTTGGTCGAGCGGGGCATAGCTCTCTTACATGGTTGCTCTTGCTTTTAGGTTAAGGTTGTTGAAGATAAAAACAAAAATAAAAAGAGAATCATAGTCATAATTATTCCCGGCCATTTGAAACCAAAATTGATGTTTACTAAGAGCATCTCCAATGCAAGGGTGTGGTCTCTTACACACCCTTACACATGGGTCCCATTTTTTATCTCACAAATTTTATGTGTAGGACCCACATATTTCCCAATTTATTTTCATTTTCATTTTTTCATATCACTTTTAACCCACTTTTCATCAACTTTTCCTCCTCGAATCCCGTGTAAGGTCCATATATGGACCTTGTCATAGACCTTGGTCCATTTTTACCTCTATCTCTCTCCTCTTTTTCATTTTTCCCTACACACCACTTCATCCCAATATTTATTCTATCTCTATCTCTCTCCTATGCCACATCAGATGCAATGCACCCTCCCATTGGAGATGCTCTAAGCGTACAGCAGAGGTTTACCTAGGAGGAGACGTACAAGCCTGCCCGACACGTACCTCTCAAAACCTCGGATCAACCTTAAGTTTTTCGAACATTTGTGCATTTGGCTGGGCCCTTTTTCACAATTAAATTCCTAAATTAAATTCTTCTTTGTCCCGCAATTAAATTCTCACTTTTCTTTTTGGGCAATTCCTAAATTAAGTTCACACTTCATTATTTTCTTTATGTGGCAAATTATCTTCATCAAACAGTGCTAAACAGTGTCAAACAGTGTTTAAATAGTGCAAATTAGTGCACTTCATAGTAAAGTCAAATTTATTTTATTACTATGTGTGAAGTCAAACCAGGAACTTAATTGCGGGACAGAGAGAGTACTTGCAAGAAATTAAAATGGTGATGCATCAATTTTGTTTTTCAATTTTTTACTTTTTAACTAGACTTTAATTTTCCGGTCTATCTTGGTTTGATCTGATCTAGTATGTTTAAATCTTTTCTAGTTTATTGTGATCTGGTTTGATCTAATCTGATCTGGTGTGACAGATGTATGTTCTAGGCGTGTGTTACAATTGTCGAAGTTTATTGTAATCTGATTTGATCTAGTCTGATTTGGAATTGACATCAATCCAATTAAAAACATCCTAAGAGAATATCCAACCGATTTTATATTACTTCTTTCCATGGCCGGTGATTAAATTAAGTTCACTTTTAAATTTTGAAATCCTAAATGTGCATCTTCAACAACCTTTTTAATTACTACCTCCGTCCCATTTATATTGCCCCGGAAGAGGGTGACACGGTTATTAAGAAAAGTGAGTTTGTGTGGTTGATATTAATTGATAAAGTAAGAATAAAGTAAGAATGATTTAGAGCCACACAAACTTTGCCAAATATGGTATGAGACAATTTAAGTGAGACTTCCCGAAAAGGTAAAACGGGACAATATAAATGGGACGGAGGGAGTATGCGTCTATAAAGTCTATAATTAATAGGTTATGGTTAAAAAGTAAGTATTCGTGCAAATTGTTCTAATTTATTGATATTTAATAATGTAGTTTTACCTAATAACTAACTTTCATAGTTAAAAAAGTTACGTTTGACACATAGGATGTTTTTACTTGTACTTTAATTTGCCCCAGAATAAACCAGACCAGACCAGACTTGGGTAGTTATAAAAATACAAAGAAATCAGACCAGATCAGACCAGACCAGACCAGACCAGTATATTACAGTCCAAGTAAAAACATCCATTAAACATAATCTTTAAATATGGATAAATCATTTGGCAAATAGCGTACGAATATAACTTGGCGGATTTAAATAACTAATTTAACAACAGCTCTCGATATAACATGAGCAGCCTGATTTGCTATTTGCTAAACGCATGTTCCAACAAATTTTGATGTTCTCTTCCTCGCTCATAAAAATTTATATCGTTGAAAACTATACATTCAATTTTTTTTATTGAATGTATAGTTTTGCAAAGTATCCACCATAATTACAAACTAGAATAGGTTATCATCAAAAAAAAAAAAAAACTAGAATAGGTTAAATGAGTAGATTTATGGAGACCCATATGACTCTAATAAAATAATATTGGCTATTGTGGCCCCATCATCATCACTTACAATAGATTTAAAATACATGCAAGTTTAAGAGCCCGTTTGGAGAACTCTGTTTTCGGCTTATCAGACTTATCAGCCAGCTTTTTCACCAAACACGTAACTTTTACTTTCGCGCGCTGAATTGTGTAATAAGCCGAAAAAGTAAGAGCCCGTTTGGAGAACTCTGTTTTCGGCTTATCAGGCTTATCAGCCAGCTTTTTCACCAAACACGTAACTTTTACTTTCGCGCGCTGAATTGTGTAATAAGCCGAAAAAGTAAGGTTGGAGTTACTTTTCTGGCTGTATTGGTTGAAGTTACTGTAGAGGACCATTTTAGCTATTTTTACATATAATTTTTTCTTTAATTTGTTAATAAAATATATTTTTAAAATATTTTTTTCTTAAATCAGCAGAATCAGCCAAAACAGCCACTCCAGCCAGAATATCATAAATTTCAGCAGAATCAACCAAAACAGCCGATTTTGGTGCTACCAAACGGGCTCTAAGGTTGAAGTTACTTTTCTGGCTGTATTGGCTGAAGTTACTGTAGAGGACCATTTTAGCTATTTTTACATATAATTTTTTCTTTAATTTATTAATAAAATATATTTTTAAAATATTTTTTTCTTAAATCAGCAGAATCAGCCAAAACAGCCACTCCAGCCAGAATATCATAAATTTCAGCAGAATCAGCCAAAACAGCCGATTTTGGTGCTACCAAACGGGCTCTAAGTGTTAGTATTTTTTTGTTAGACATATTTCAATTTCGAAGTATTAGTACTTGTTTAAGGACTCTAAGAGCCCGTTTGGACAATGTTATCAGACTTATCAATCAACTTTTTCACTAAACAAGTAATTTTTTATTTCGCGCGCAGAGTTGTGTAATAATAAGAAAAGTAAGGTTTGCATTACTTTTATGACTGCATTGACTGAAATTACTATAAAAGATCATTTTAGCTATATTTTCATATAATATTTCTTTATTTTAATAATAAAAAATATTTTATATATTTTTTAATACATCATAAAAATCAGCCACTGCTTGTGCTTCAGTTAAAGCTTCATAAATTTCAGCAAAATCAACTGATTCATCCAATTTCATTGTTACCAAACAGACTCTAAAATTTAAATTTGCCACACAATTACATAAACAATTTGTCCGATAATGAATTTTGGATCTTGGACCAGATGCGTGTGTGATGGACTACAATTTGGGCCTTCACTTTTATATTGTTGCGAAGCGATCCGACCCGAGAAATAAGAACCTGGCTGTAACGACGCAAAAAGAATCCAACCGCTGCAAAGACCTTCACCGCGCCTCCGCCGTGTCGAGTCCCTCCGCTAATCGGTAGAAATCAAATCTCAACCCACCAGGAAGCAACCTGTGACTTCGTCAATCTCTGGCAGGCCGTCGGACGTACGTCGCACGGCGGCTCACCACGGACAACACCTCTTAGCCTCTAGCTCTCCGCCGGTACAATTGTTAATTGTTTAGTTTTATTGTATTTTTAAAATTCAGTTTAGCTTCAAAGACTAAATTGCAGCCTTGTTCGTACAAATTTGATTGTGTGCATCACTTGTATGAGTATGAATTTGATTGTGATTTGTTATTGTTAATCTAATTATTTGCTTAATTAGAATGGAGTGTTAGTGTAGTAACTAGGAATCTCATTGTGATAGAGTTACCATTTACGTAGAAAAAACATCTTCTTGAGTCTTGAAGTCATTATCAAACGATAGAAATGGATGAAAACCTGTATAGAACAGTTGTAAAATTGTGGTGTTTTTGTATTTGACTTTGATGAGAACTCTTATTCCTATAATATTGTTTTTGTCTATGATTGTGTTGTTACAAAAGATGTTATTTTATATTTGAAAATGAATTTTGTCAAATAGACATTATATTACTATTTGACGTTCTTTCAATTTACGTTATTTAACTAAATTTAGGCCCCTCCTCGATGTCAAAGCTAGATCCAGCCCCGTCTATGGCTTCGGATTTCGAAACAGTTGATCAAAGATTGCAATCTTTTCTAGGCCAGCTTCTCTCAGAGTTCGGCATTCTCGACAGAATTGTATATAAAAACAAGAATCAGCACAGAAGGTGCTCGTACTTTCAGTACCTCCTGAAGGTGAGAAGAGACATAAGGCTTCTAAAATCAGCCAACCCGGAGGAGATATTCCGTTCCTCCTTCGACGTCATTAATGGAAAGAGGCCTAAGCAGAAAGTCCAGCTCCTGGAGAGTCTAAAGAGGAAAAAATCAGACAGCAGTAACAAGCAAACCTTCTTAGATCGACTCCTCGGACTTGCTCGCCTACTGTCACAAATGGTTGAACCAATTTTGAAGGCAGCGACACAGGTATCCACTCTTCTCGCTCGATCATTCTTCATGGGGTTTTCAATGACAGTTTTGGCCCTGCTTGCTCGGATTAGAGTGCTTGTTCAGCAAATGCTTCTAGATGTTGTTTGTGTATTCAACCACATATCATCTCTGTCTCAAAAGAAACAGTCTGTTAAATTGAATAGAGAAGGATTTGAGGTTTTTAGAGAATACTATCCTGTTAAGCAACATTCTACTTGCTTAGAATGCGTTTGGGAAAAAGATAAGTATAAGTTAATTGAGAGGAAACATGAGAGTGAAGTTGAATTTCCAGAAAGGGTAATCAAAGAAGATGAGTGTATTGAATCACCTAAAGTTAAGTACCAAAGGCTTGAGATTTTTCTTGGAGATGATGAACCTGGTAATGTCATGGCGGTGCCTAATGAAGTTTCTGTAGATGGATCACCCTTTATGAATCCTAATTCATAGAGAAACAATGTAGTAGAAATGTCATTGGGTTCAGAAGATGTTCATTCAGAGAAGTATTTTGTTTTTGCATACTTGTCCTCTCCATAAAACGATTACATCACACTACAGATGAAATTTGTTTTTCAGTAATGCTTAGTAGAGGCAATAAGAAAATTACTCTGTTCTTGGTTACAGCTGCATGTTGAAGAAGCATGATTCTTAATCTGTACTAAGGGTTTATTTGGGTGAAGAGGCTTGGTGAGTAAAGTGTTGTAGGGTTTAGTCTCTATTTGAGAGACATCTTGTAGTTTGCAGGATCTTAGTTGAACATGCAAAGATATGCTTCTCTTTCCTTGTATTAGGTAGAACAAAGTCTCTGAAGTGGTTCCATTAACGATGCATTGAACATGATCACTCATTTGTCTTATTACATAAATGTCTACATGTACATCTTCTTTTATACCCCGAGTAGATTTTTAAACATTTATATAGAATGATGTTTTTATTACTTAATGAAAATGGGTAAACACAATGTTGAAGGTTAGGCCTGCCAGTGAAGTGAATAGGATGCTATACTGGCATAGGGGAGCGGAGCAGGTGCTTGCCACTATCAGATTGCCTGTAGCAGAGCTGTTGGAAGTAGGCAAATAGCGCCAGTAACAATAGCGCCACTATTATTTACATGCTTCTTCAGTGCTTGTTTGAAAGGGGTTTAGGAGTATTATTAGTTTTAGATGTTTTTAGAGTAAAAAATAACCCTATTACACCCTCCAAAACACATGGACAAATATGACCCTACTAAAATAGCTCAAGGCATCCCAAAAACCTAGATTTATTTATAACTAGATATTGGTGACTGCTAATTTTTTAAGAATTATTTAGGAGCTAAAGTTTTAATTTCATGTTTAGGAGTAAATTGATGTAATTATTCGTTTGTTTTGTTTAATAAACTAGTCGCTTTTTTCTTTGTAATTTAGCAAGTATGAATTTCATGAGGTTTAAGATTTCAAGTGATTTATTTATCTTTTCATGGACTCCAAGTGGGCATGGTATGAAATTATATGCATACATATAATCATGCATTCTGCATATGTAATGTATGAATAGCGGTCATCCCGCCAGCATCTATACTTCAGGGTTGGCAGCTACGCTATACTATCCGGGGTTGGCAACACTGAGCCTGCTAAGGGGATGAGTTTAAGCCAAAAACTTTAGCTAAGAAGACCATTGCTCCCTTGGCTATGAGGAGCAAGCAGGGATTAATGAGGTGGTGAAGGAAAAGAATGCAAGGATGAAGGGAGGATTTATGATGATTACAATGTCTGAGAAGTTGGAATGCAGGGCGAAGGATCTGTATGAGACATTGATGGATGAGATTAGGCGGCAAGGTTCACAATCCGTAGGGAGGTTGGGGGTGAGTTTAACATATTTGATGAGTGGGAAAAATATATTCTAACCTTTTCATTTCAGTTTTGCTTATATGTTGAGTATCTGTTCTCTTACAGATTCATTGGTTAAGAAAATCAGAATTCTTACTCTTTTTGCCCCAATTTAAATTTCTCATATATAATGTGGGCATTCAACTTAATTTTCTCTATAATCTCTAATTTTAAATGATAAATCTTATCATTTTCGAATTCGGTTTTTTTTGCGGCTCATTAGAACTTGTACTTTGTATTTTTTTTTTATAGAATATGTGAACTAATACTACTACCTCTGTCCCGCTAAGATTGTCTCATTTTACCTTTTCGGTCCGTCCCATTAAGATTGTCCCATATCAAATTTGGGAAGGTCCGGGACCGGCCCGGGTTGCTGCCGGGTCCGGGTCGGGCCGGGCCTCAGGCCACTTTGTATTTTTTTTCCTTTTTCTAATTAGGATGTTTTTACTTGGACTGTAATTTGTCCCAGACCAGATCAGACTAGACCAGACGTGGGTAGTTATAAAAATACAAAGAAACCAGACCAGACCAGACTAGCAAATTACAGTCCAAGTAAAAACATCCTTAACCCCCGACCCCCCCTCCCCTCACCCCCCACCCCCAAACCACCCCAAATGGCCCAAAGTACCCAGCCCAACCCGGGTTTTAAAAAAAAATGAAAAAAAATAAAAAATAATAATAAGGCCCGAACAGGGCCCGGCCCGGCCGGGCCGATTCCATATTCTGCTGACCAGAGCCCGCCCTTCCCTAACCAGTGGGCCGGGCCTACCCGAACCAGACTGTAGCGGGTCACCGGGCTGGGGTGGGCCCAAACAGTACCGGTCCCGGACCGGGCGGCCCGACCTGAGTCCAAGACTAATATCAACCGCATACACCACTTTTTATTAATTTACGTGACACTCCCTCTTGTCTCATTGTTAGTGGAACGGTGCGAGTAATACATATATATTGTCAGCAAAGAGTTCACTTTGTCTGAAGTCAACCATTATAATTTGGGGTGATATGGTTTGAAAATTGTGGATAGAAAGGATGTTAAAAACTAAAGTTTTTATGAAGGCTCCATGAGCAGAATAAGTTTTTATGAAGGCTCCATAAGTATAATAGAAGTGTGCTAGGATGCCAAAATGGGCTGATATGCCTCATAGTTTGGATTTACCTACATGGCTACATGCAAAAATATGTCTATTTAATCAATTGGCTGAATCGGCATATACCAGCCAAAATGACAAATAAATTTTGTTTTTTGGGTATTAATTCAAGATAAAAGTTATTACAAACATGTTAAGGTAATTGTATGTCCTGGTCATTTAACACAGATTGCTGCTGAATACTTTTGGTTTTTGGTTTGTCCATTTTAACTAGGTTAACTGTTCATAGAGACATAAAACGGGCTCTAAGTAGCCGTGGACTTAATAATTTGGCTTTAATGAATATTGCCAATTTGCATTTTTTTAAACTTTCAGCTAAATATCTTTTAATAAAATGGTCCTGAAAGTGCTATGAATGGTTAGTTGATATTGAGAAATGGTAGCTACTTTAAGAGCCCTTTTGGCGACCCTGTTTCTCGGTTTATCTGACAATTTTTTCACCAAACATGTAACTTTCGATTTCGCACGCTGAATTGTGTAATACCCGAGTGATAAGAAAAAGTGAGGTTGGAGTTACTTTTCTAGCTGTATTGACTGAAGTTACTCTAGATGATAATTTAACTGTTTTTTCGTATAATTTTTCCTTATTATATTAATAAAAGATTCTGCATGTTTTAAATATACATTTTTTCATAAAGGAGTGGAATATTACTAGACGGGTTCTAACTTCTAAGTTATAACTAGTTAGTCAAAGGAATCGTATTTCTTGGGCTTTAGTTGAAAGTTGGTACCATAGAGTTGAATATTAAAGCATTAATCATTTCAAATGCCCTAATCATTGCTTGGAAGTTGCTTCATTCTTTGATTAGAGGGTGATGTCTTTTGTTTTTATTGTCCACGAAAATATGTTCTATAGCTATGAGGGAATGAGAGCTATTGAATAAGCTAAGGTTCAGTTGGGGTGTGAAATTGGGAAATTGAAAACAGAAACAATATTTTCTTTTTAAATTGAAAATGAGGATTACATGAAATCGTAATGTATTTCTAAATTAGCCTGGTAGTAAGACTAAATTGGCACTGATTATCAAAGTTTATGTACCTCTCGGTCTCGGTTGCATCATTATGTACTCTTTATTCTATCGGTTATGACTTGATATAGTAAAGTGACACTTTGCTCAATTGAAAATTGAATCGATAAATGGTTGCATCCATCTGTTTTTAGAAATCGAGTTTTTGACTTTTTCGTTCAATTTTTATGATGATTCAGTTTTATTTAAAAATCAACTTTATTTATATTTCAAAGCGTACAATGCTATAAAATGTCGTAATATCACAACCCGAGAGTCTCATTCAAATGAAAGACGCAATACAAAGCTTTTATTTTACCCGGTGGAAGCTTTACATATTAACTCTGCGAAGAGTGAACAAAGGGATTTGAACATGGGTTAACTTGGTATGGATCCGGTCCTGATCCGGACCGGGCGGGTTTGTGGGAAAATATATGGAGGATTGGGTCGTGTATTTCTAGTTCCCGACCGGTTCCGGTCCCCAACCGGTCCCGGTTCCGTTTCGGTCCGGTCCTGTACTTTATATTTTAATACACTTTTAAACTCTCTATTGTCTTCTCTAGTCTCCACCCTCTTTACACTTCTTTCGAGCTTTTAAACGGAGCTTCAACCCTTATGAAATGTTTTCATATGATTTGATAACAAAAAGCAAAAAATGAACTACTCCGGTTCCAATCTAAATATGGAGGCCCAGAACCAGGTCCTCTTTCCCACTGGTCCGGTTATGGTCTCAGACTGGAATCTTATTTTTTGGTTCTGGATCAGAACCTTATTCTATGGTTTTAGTTTAAAACCGAGCGATTTCTGTCCGTTCCCGGTTCCGGGACTGGGACTGAGACCACCCCTAGGGTTGACAACGCTTACAGATGCAATTATTTATAGATAAATTAATTGTAATTTATTACGAGTAATTCATTAAATTTGTACTTCCAAATTTATGTTTGGTTTGAACCTCCAAAAACTGTTTTTAAGCTAATTAATATGCAGAAATCACTCATGTCACTTCAATTCGATCTCTAGCTTAGTTCGATTCATTTTTGTTCGGGGTTTTGGGGTGAAAATGCAGCCCTATTATTGAAAATGTGTGTGAATATTAGTCTCCTATTATTGACAGTATAGATGAATATTAGGTTTAAAATATGATTCTGGTTTGATATAAACGATACCTTGTTTTCTTTATTTCTTGCCATCCGATTTGGTCAGATTGGATTCGTATTCCGTGTACCCTTTTGCATTTTATAAATTCATTCTATTTAGCAATTGAAAAAAGAGCATAAAGCCGGGTTCAATATGCAATTATCACTTGCTCACTTGGTAGAAACGATGTAAATTCACCCACCGTGGAACTATGGATTCATTTGAAATGGAAGATTAATTGGAGTTTGTAAAATGAAAGTGATTGGGATATGATATTTGTAGAGAAAATGTGACAATATGTATGGCCTTAGGAGATGGGTAATCATAAAATCACATTCACATCTTATCGTTGTCTCAACCCCTATTGAGGGAATGTGACTATCAATACTAATTCTTTTTGGGTTACCATCCACCTCTAAACCTTTACTTTGCGGGAGGTCTTTGGACTCGAATCTCATCAAGGAAGATGATATAAGTGCTTGTTCATGAGACGTTTTACTCTTACGAAGTCATTCATAGGTTGATGAGAGAATAAACGATAATATTGGTAGCGAATCCATGTGGTGGGTAGCGGCGTACGCAAGATTTTTTCGATTGGCGGGGCGGAAGTGTAAAAAAATACATATATATTAAAAATTAGGGGGTAAATATGTCTAGGGAAGAAATTGGAGGGGCGGCGGGCCCCGTTTGCCCCTGCCTGTGTCCGCCGCAGATGGTGGGAGTACATCCTAGATACATATATTGTAAGTTGTTGAATTTTTGAAGGTAGTTATTGACTATAGTATTATGGTAATAAAGTATATATTAGCAAAAATATAAGTGAAAAAATGAGTTAGTAAACCCTTAACAATGTAAACAATGATACTAGTTTATAGCTGTAATTTCATTTTGGTGTCTAATCCGATCCATGCGGTTGTATTGGTTTAGTTTTATTCGGCTCTCCTTCTTAGTTTGACAATCAACAAAAGTAGAGTGACAAAAAAATCAAAATAAGTAGCAGTTGACTTGCTTATTGGTCTAGAGATATATGCTACCAAAGACTTCAAAAAAATCAGCGGTCCATGTTAGAAATTAAAATAACCCCACACTTATATTAGTTTCAATTTAGCATATACAAAATGCATTCTAAAGTTTAAGTTTGTACAGTAATTATCATTACTCTGCTCATTTTTTTGTCGTATTACACACATGTAGATTTTATGTGAATGTAAGAATGTTACACTTAATTTATTTAGATTTAAACTTATTTCCATAACTAATGTTTATAAAAATTCATGATTCGAGTGGCAGCACTGGGATAATGTTGTTGTCATGATTTGAGTGTCCTGTAAATTTATAAAATAGGATTAATTGTATTTATTTTATTATCATCGATTAGTTTTAGCTATATAAATGTTGTAATCTCGGCAAGAACGTTAACTCGTAAATTCTTGTTTTAGAAATTTCACGGATTATTTCAAAAAGAAAGAAAGAAAGAAAGAAATTTCACGGATGAAGAACTAGTTATTCTCGTAATTTTATGATTTATGAAGTTAAAGGTGATTATACAGAAAATGATTCCTCTCAAACATCATAGACTTTTTCAACTAAATGTTATCTGTAGGTTTATACCATTCTACAACCCTATAAATTCGCATATAAAATTATAGAGCCTGAACAAATTAATCCCAATCCATCTATTGAACTAGGCAGAACATGGAATAGGACAAACAAAACTTGCACTTCTTTGACTATATATTATGTGTACATTGATACTATGCTATCACCCTATAAATTTGTATATGAACTTTTGGAAACTAAACAATCTCAATTCAGCTAGCTATCTAAAAATAAATTCAAAACCTTTGATTAATTGTTTCGTAGGATAAATGTGATTTACATAAATATGCATTTTATCAGATTTTGGATTGAAAAAAATATTAAAAATATAAATCAAAGACAAAGAATAACCTTACTCTATTCCAGCATAAAGTACAATAAAAGCTTGAATAAATTCCACTTTTGACTCCTATGAGTTTTATGCCGATTCCACATTTAGTTACGTCTTTCACTTTGTCCCTTTTTGATATTTAAAAAATATTTCTTAATCATTTGTGATCTATCTCCAGTGATTTTCAACACCGCAAACTTTGTTGGAAGTATCAAATATGAGCAAAAACTCAATAGTCATGTACCAAAGACGACGATCAAACTCAAACATGTGGACTAATTAATTGTCGAATGAACGTGTAAGATCAAAAGTGTAATTTATTCATACGAGCTTATTAACTAAATGTATATACATAAAATAAAACATTCAAACTCAAAATTAAACATAAAAAAGATTTGATAAAAGTGGGAGTATAGGATTGTGCTAAATCAAATAATTAATCAAGAATGTCAAAAACCTAGAATCGATTCGAGAACAATGAAATAAGAATTATTCGGTTCACTTTGATTTAATTTACACGGAATAAATTAGTTCTCTATCTAGCAGCCAGCCAGCCAAGTGGTTCTCATTATTTGAGCAAATAGACAAACGCATATTTACATATGGACTGCCAGAGACCACACTACCAGGCCACGTTAATATGCAGGAAAGATCAGAAACGATGCCTTTAATTTGCTTGTATATATTTTATTTGCAAATTACGTCCATCACAATCCATTATACGGAGTATATTTATATTGGATCTAACAAAATTGAGAAAAATTGAATCCAATACATTATCTAAATAAACTCAATTTTTTTTATGCAAAAACAAGTTTATGTAAACTCATATTTTAATTGAAATTCTAACAATAGTCAAAGGAGGGTTCCACTTTTTCCCTAGTGGCTTAACGTCGCATATGGTTTTGTCTCCCTTGCGGCTTTGCCCTCGCGTAGGATTTCCTTCCGCCAATTGTGTGTGTGGCTCTTCTTCTCTAAGCTTCGAGAGTGTTTTTTAAGTTTAGATTGGTGATTCTGGTTTTGGGATTTAGTTGACTTTCAGATTATCCATTGGATCTCGAAGGAGGCGTGAGTGCGGCTGTAGCTTTTGGAAGTGAATCCAAAGTTCAAGAAACCATTATCATTTCTTCTATGGATGATCTAGAGCAGCGTTGTCCCATTCCTGCAATTGAGGAGGAGGTCGAAGAGTTAGTTTTTGTTGAATCAACATGGGTAGAGGACTAGGCCTGGGACCGGTTCGGTTCCTAGGCAAAATATGTGGAACCGTTTGAAAATATGAAATTTTACTAACGGTTCGGTTCTTAAAAATTATTTTATAGAACCGATAAGGAACCGAACTGTTCTTAACGGTTCAGTTCTTGTCATTTAACGGTTCCTAGTCTTTGAAAAAAATCTTGCAAATCACGACTATTTTTTTGCCAAAGACATTCGACGTTTGAAATTACAATACAAATATGTTGAACTAGTTAAAGAGAATAATAATTATAAATACAATGAACTTTCCGAATTCCGACCTGCTGGCGTTTGGACCTAATGAGAGACCTAAGAAGTCTAAGAGAACTGGTTGAAGTGAATAATAGTTTTAAATAGTTAAATAAATAAACTAAAGTAATGAATGTAATATAAAAATAAATAAGTAAATATACATTAATATATATATACTCCTAAGAAATATATATGTTTTTAATTATTATATATAACGGTTCCTTAACGATTTCTGGTATTTTTTTTTCCAGGAACCGAGAACCGAACCGTTAAGAAATAACTAGTAAAATTTGGAACCGCGCAAACCGAACAGGGTCATAACGGTTCGGTTCTCCGGTTCTTGGTTCCAAAGTCCCAGCCCTATAGAGGACAGTGGTGGTAGTGGAGGTGGAACGGGCGACGAGAAGACGGAAATAGGTGAAGGGCTGAGTAAGGGAGAAGACAGATCGGCAGTCCGCCCCCTCCTGAACCGCCGCCTAGAGCGATCGAGGTTCTAGGGATTGGAAGATTTATCAGTTATTTAGTTTTTTATGGTATTTTCGTGTTATGTTTTATGTTGTTCCGATCTGTTTTTTAATGTTTTTAGTTTTAGGTTTACAATTATGATTGATAATTCTGCTAGATATTATATCGTTAAAAGGATCTATAGCCCAATGATTGTTGTGTCACACCCACTTGGTGGTTAGCGATTCATATTGCTCTTTCAGGGGTGATCGTCTCTGAGTCTAGCCGTAGAGTTGATTGTGCTAGTCGGTTAGTGATAGTTGTTGTCACGGTTGGTCTTTTTTAATATAATATTATTAGGCATATTTGTTTCCTATTCTGTATTAATCTCTTTTAATATAAATAGACATGTCGGGGCTCCTATTGGAGGACTCCTTTCCCATTATTTTCACATGGTATCACGAGCCTAAGAAGAAAAAAAACCTATTTTTTCCTCTCTCTCAAAATCGACGCAGCCATGTCGCAACCGCAGCTCTCCATGGCACCGATCATCTCCTCCGGCGACTCTTCGCCGCTTTCTTCCGCTAGGGACATGCCAACAACCACTGCAATCAATATGTTCTCTTCGTCGGTTGTTACCACTGCTGCTCCAGAGTCTTCTCAATCGATGCACTATTCTTTTCACATGGTGTCGGACCTTCGTTCTTATTCTGCCGGACCACAATTTTCTCTATTCGAAACCTTGCCGCCACAGTTTCCATGGCAGCAGGTTGGTCCCAACATGAATTCAGAAAGTCCACAACCACAACCGCATGTTATGTGGCCGCAATCTATTCCAGTTATTCCCCAGGCCACACCAACTCCTCAGCCGCAGATGGTTCTCCCTCAGGTCAAGCCAAATTCGCAGTCGGTCAGCACTCCGTACTTCGGGCCGACCTTTGCTGGTTCTCCTGGAATTACTCGGTCTGCACAGGATAATCCGCTGTTTGGTTCTCCTATGGCAGCATTAACACAATCAGTTTCCCACAGGATATTTAATGTAGGTCAGATTATGACTATTAAACTTAATGCGGTGGAATATTATCTTACATGGCGGACTCAGTTTGAGTCATTCCTCGTGTCACATGGACTTTTTGGTATTGTAGACGACACAATTCAGGTACCTCCCATGTATACTTTGGATATTAATAATCAGTGCATCGTTAATACTGATTACTATCATTGGCTTCGGGTGGATCAAACAATCCGTTCTTGGTTGTTTGCCCCCTTTCTCGGGATGTATTAACTGATGTACATGATATTAAACATTCCTTTGGTATATGGGCAAGGTTGCAATCTCGTTTTATGTCTGCCAGTTTGTCTAGAGCTATGGAACTCAAACGTTTGTTGAACAATACCAAAAAGAAACCAAATCAGTCTATGGAACACTTTTTACGTGATATTAAAAATCTGGCTGATGCATTAGCTACGATAAATTCTCGTGTGACTAATACAGAATTACTTGAAAGCACACTTAGTGGATTGGGGCCTGAGTATCAATTTATTACGGGTACTATATCATTATTTCCTGAGAGTTTTCCACCCGACATTCTCCACCCACGTCTCATGAAAGCCGAGCAACAAGTTCTACACATGCCGCAGGATGCTTCCTCTCTGCAGTCGGCTTTTGGAGCACATGAGGGTCACGGCCAGCCCCACAATCCACCTGGACATCAACCTGACAATGGCGCATACCGCGGCAGAGGTGGCAGAGGCAGAGCAGGCCGTGGAAAGGGCCGATTCCAACATCAGCAGACCTACGGCCAGCAGGGGTATCCACAGCAGCAGCCAGGCAATCTGCCCGCACCCCAGCCTTTGGCCGCAGGGGGTGTGTATAATCTGAGGCCCAATAATGCTCCATCCGGTAAATCTGTCTTGTCCATTTATAATATTAATGCTAAATCTACTTTTGGCACTCACTTTCATTATGCAGGTTTCTCATCAGCTGAGGGTGTTCTTGGGTCAGTTCCTCTCTCGGTTGTGTGTCAAATTTGTTTTTCTGCAGGTCATTCCGCCTTACACTGTCCGTCTCGCTTCTCACAGCCATCTGCACCTGCCTTGGTTGCTTCGTCTGGGGAAACTAATGATGCTTTGTGGTATCCATATTCCGGAGCTTCTGCTCACATGACATCATCTGAAGGTATTTTGTCAAATAAATCTCCTTATTTTGGCTCCATGTCTGTTAGTGTTGCAAATGGCATTAAACTTCCTATTGCTAATATTGATAATATTACATTAAATACTTCTAGCCGCCCACCGTCATTGAAATCTGTTTTTCATGTGCCTCAAATTAAATTTAATTTAATTTCTATTTTAAAAATTGTGTGTTGATAACAACTGTGTTGCTATTTTTGATAAAAATTCCTTTTCTATTAAGGACAAACTTTCGGGGACAGTTCTTCTTCAGGCGCGTCATAATGGTCATCTCTACCCTATCAGCCTCAGTCCACCTGCACCTCTAGCTCTAGCTTCAGTTATTCCTTCTGGCCCTGTGTGGAACCGTAGATTAGGACATTGTGGTGAATCTGTTTTACGCCTGTTGCGTAGTAGAAAACTTATTTCCAATTCTTCAAATTTTGAACATGATTGTGTTTCTTGTCGTTTGGGTAAATCTCAACGATTACCCTTTTCAGATGTTAGTCATAATTCTTCTTCTCCGTTACAATTAATTCATTATGATGTGTGGCAATCTCCCGTGTTATCAAATTTAGGATTTAAATATTATGTGTGCTTCATTGATGATTTTTCTCGTTTCACTTGGATTTACCCCTTGCGCACTAAAAATGAGGTGTTTACTCAGTTTCGTCTTTTTAAACTATTAGTTGAGAATTTGTTCAATGCTAAAATTAAGTTTTTTCAAAGTGATGGAGGAAGTGAGTTTGTTAATTTTCCTTTGCAACAATTTCTGGCTGAACATGGCATATATTTTCAAAAATCTTGACCTTATACTCCCCAACAAAATGGGGTTGCTGAACGTAAGCATTGCCATCTCCTAGAACTTGCTAGGACTATGCTTATCACAGCTTCCATTCCTAGCAATTTTTGGGTTGATGCTATTTTCACAGTTGTTTACATTATTAACAGGCTTCCCTCTCCTACCCTTTTTGGTGCTTCACCATATGAAAAACTTTTTCACAAAATTCCTGACTATAGTTTACTACATATTTTTGGGTGTGCTTGTCATCCAAATTTTTCTGCTTCCTCTTCCAACAAACTTTCTCATCGGTCTGTTCAGTATGTCTTTCTTGGCTATGCATCTGGTTTTAAGGGTTATCGTTGTCTTGAGCCTAAATCTGGCAAAATTTTTATTAGCCGGCATGTTCGTTTTCATGAAAATATTTTTCCATATGTCACCTTGTCTTCGTCTACGGGTCATGACTCTTCCACTATTTCTGAGGACTTCACTCTCACCAATACAGCTTCTGTTTCCCAAAACCATAGCCTATCCTCCTCACCACATAAGGAACCGTCCAGCACACTCCTTATACCTACAGTTCAGTCACCACCCTCTCCCACACCGAACTCTCACACTGGCCACACACCTCCCCTCACACCAACCCATACTTGCCCAGCCATCACTCTGCCAAGCCACAACAATACCCAGAACCGGCTGCTGCATACTCCTGTACCCAATCCGCCTCCCTCACAGCCTCATACCCCTTCAGCCGAGCCTGTAGATACTGCCCCTCCACCTGACAACGTCCTGGTGATGCCGCAGACCACGACCAGTCCGCCTCATCTATCTCCGCCTCACGTTCCTCTTGCTAATCATCATCCCATGCAAACTCGGGCGAAGTCGGGAATTTTTAAACCAAAAACAATTTTTAATTTAAACATTGTTGCTTTATCAGCTGATCCTACTTGTTTTTCAGAGGCTAATAAACAGTTAAAATGGCGTGAGGCAATGGCAGAAGAATTTAATGCTCTTATTTCTAATAATACTTGGGATTTAGTTCCATTTGATAATACTAAGAATGTTGTGGGCTCTAAGTGGATTTATAAGACAAAATATAATTCTGATGGATCTATTGAGCGTCACAAAGCTCGGTTGGTTGCTCAGGGTTTTAATCAACAGGCAGGTGTGGATTTTTCTGAAACTTTTTGTCCAGTAATTAAACCCACCACAATTCGTATTGTACTTACCTTAGCTATTTCTTTTGGGTGGGTTATTCGTCAATTGGATGTTAAAAATGCGTTTTTACATGGTCATCTCACTGAAGATGTATATATGCGTCAGCCGCGGGGATTTATTCATCCCTTGTTTCCTAATCATTTATGTCGTTTGCGAAAAGCCATTTATGGTCTTAAGCAAGCCCTGCGTGCATGGTTTCATAGGTTTAGTAGCTTCTTATTATCTCACCATTTCAGGTGCAGCAAGTCTGATAATTCGCTATTCATTTTTCGTCAGAATAATAATGTCATTTATTTATTACTATATGTGGATGACATAATTATTACTGGCAATTCTTCTCCTGCTATCGCGTCTTTCATTCAGCTTGTTGCTCAGCACTTTGCTATGAAAGATTTGGGTGATCTTCATTATTTTTTGGGAGTCCAGGCAGTCAGATCCGCCAAAGGTTTGTTTCTATCTAAGCATAAATATGTGTCTAATCTTTTATCTCGTTTTCATCTCCATACTCTCAAGCCTGTTCGTACCCCACTTGCTACTCGCACTGCTTTGTCCCTCACTGATGGGGAGCTTCTTGCTGATGCTACTGAGTATCGTAGTATGGTTGATGCGTTACAATATTTAATTTTGACACGACTTGATATTACCTATGCTCTGCATTTAGTGTCTCAGTTTATGCATGCTCCTCATACTACTCATTTTTTTGCTGTCAAGAGGATTTTTAGATATTTACAGGGGACTCTTGATCATGGATTGTGGCTTCAGCCTACCTCTCGAGCTACTTGTGTTATTGCGTACTCTGATGCGGATTGGGCTGGCTGTCCAGATACGTCTCGTTCCACGACTAGCTTTGCAGTATTCTTGGGCCCAAATCTTGTCTCATGGAAGTCCAAGAAGCAGCCTACTGTCTCCAAATCCTCTACGGAAGCTGAATATAGAGCAGTTGCTTATACTGTTCAGGATTCCCTGCATATTCGTTCTGTATTGTTTGAGCTCGGCTATCCTGTTTCTACTCCGGTTCACCTGTTTTGTGATAATATATCTGCTTCCTATCTGACGGCTAATCCAGTTCAGCATGCTCGTAGCAAGCACATTCAGATAGACTATCATTTTTTCAGAGAACGTGTGGCTCATGGAGATCCCGTTGTCAAGTACATCCCCACTCAGTTGCAGTTAGCTGATATTTTTACCAAAAGTCTTTCTAGTCAGCAATTTCATTTTTTAAAGAACAACATGCGCGTTGTATCTCCCGCACAGTTTGAGGAGGTGTAATAGAATATTATTAGGCATATTTGTTTCATATTCTGTATTAAACTCTTTTAATATAAATAGACATGTCGGGGCTCATATTGGAGGACTACTTTCCCATTATTTTCATATTTTTGAGTTTGTTGTAAAAAAAATCGGATTCCTAATGATATCAATATAAGCACTTTGTTTTGATGAAGAAAAAATAATACTCAAACTCTCAAAGGAGAATTTCTTTTATAAGTAGACATTTGATACATAACAATGTCCAAGATTTATATCGTGCAATAAATTCAATCATGCATGTCATTTCTTTATTGGTTTATAAGTTTATAAGTTATAACTGTATGCATTGCATATCTACGGGGTTTGGAAGTGCTTCTTAAAATTGTTTTTGCTCCTTCTAAGAAGAGAAACATATATTGTAATATTTGAGTGAAAGTGTAGAAGTACTTGTATTTGAATATATTTTATTTGATATAGTGATATACTACGGTTGTATGGTAAAAGGCTTATATCATGATAATAAGAACATACAAAATAATGATCAAACAGCGGTAAAGGACCTGAAGTAGCACTGCCTATCAAATACCTCTAAATCTGATTTAATAATTTAAATTTACATAGTCAGATATCTACATTAAAACTATATATAGTTGAAAAAACAAAAATAGAATGTAATTAAAAATTCCTATACTGATCAAATGAATAAAATGAAATTGTTCAGAGAAAATAAAAGTTTACTTTACAAATCAATTTGAGACGGAAAGAATAATATTCTATTTGTTTTTTATTACTCTCATAGTCTCATGCAGTGGCGGAACTAGAGGGCGAGCCAGTGCTGCCGCCCCTCGTTCGCCGGAGATTGCAGTGTGCATATATGTATATGTTCAGCCCCGTCTCTAGAATAATGATAAATATTAACGGTCCCGTAAATGGTCTAATAGTTGGAGCAGCATGGATGGGTGAAGTGTTTTACATGTTTCGAGGTGACATTGTTTCGATTCTTGTTGAGCCCTTTTTTGTTAAGGTGACAACTCTGATACTCATTTAAAAAATAGGGTACCGTACTAGCATTCACTTGATTGGTCCACATCATTATATTAGTTTTAATTTAGATTTAAATTATTCAACTGCAACATTTCCATTGGTCCATGTGTACAAATGTATGGTACCTTATGGGTACCATAGAATCTACCTTTTGTTAAATACGGAGTAATACGTAGCATTTATTATACTTCCTACCACTCCAGATTTTAACTATTCTCTAAACTTTTTGGGACATTATTAGTTTATATATTTTTCCTGCCACTTGACATTTCTCTTACTTGACATATATTTTTCCTGCCACTTGACATTTCTCTTACATTTTTATTGTTTCAATTCAATTTACTTTTTTGAATATTAACATGTTATTTACATTTTTTGTTTAGTACAATGATAAGGAGTAGTAAAAAATGACCTTTAAATATTTCTTCTCTCTTCAAACATTGTCCTATATCATTTTATAACTAGTTTATCAAGAAAATTTTCAAAACAACTTGGACTTTAACATAACTATTTATTCCTTTGTTTGGTACAAATATGTCAAAATTTCTTGTTGTTATTTGACATATCTAACTTCATAATATCTAATTAGATTTATGTAATACATTTTCATAATAAAAAAATATCCTTTTAAAAAATTAGATAACCTACAAGTAATGTTTATTTGAAAAGAGTTTTTTTTTGATAAGTTAATAACTTATATATATTACTACGTATTAATTAATCTTCCTCTAATTGTTTAGCTATATTTCTATTTAAACCTTGTTATTCTAAAATAAAAGGACAAGCGTATTAAATCGAGATAAACTCGTTTGATGAACGAAATCTGTTATTTTGTTTAGGCACTAACAAAACAAGTATAAAAATGAATAAATGTATATATTTAAGTTGATATGTATATGCATGTGTGCGCTTGTGTGTGAATTATATACTGGTTCGAAGTTTTTTTAGCACCCCTCAAATTTTGTTGTGATTCCGCCATTGCTCTCATGGTA